GAGGGAAAAGTTGGCTCAAACCCGCCCCACCCCCCATTGCACCAGGCAGCTCTTGTTTTCCTCCTCTAGGAAGCGGTGAATCATAAACCCCCACCCCGCCTTGTGCGCCTCAGCTGTTATCCGCCGCCTGTCCTCCCGCCACTCGGGGCGGGAGGGGGAAACAAAACCCACTGCAAGGGGGGCGAGCGGCTCCAATCCCAAGAGCAAGTATGGGGCGCCCTCCCCCCGCAACGCGTTTCCAGCTCACTGCAGGTACTGGGTGGGGGCGGCGGCTGGAAGAGGAAACGGGATGAGTCACGGATAATGAAGGTTCGTAAAGGAGAAGATGTTTTTCCGGTACAGTCTTGGGCGCCTGCCCCCTTGGAGAGCGCGCGCCAGGAGGGGAGTCGTCTCTGAGAAGCGGGCAAAGAGGATCCAAAGTTTCGAAGAGCGCTCAAAAGGGCGAAGCAGGTGCCAAAGTGACGCCTTCGCTTCTCCACTCCTCCGCTGCCTTGGAAGATCATGATCCTCCCCGTACGGGCAGCCCACCCCCCCCCACCCCCGTCCGTCAGTCCTGAGCCCAGAAATGAACGGAAATGTCGCCTCTGCCAGAAAGGACGCGCTGGGGCTTGGAGGGAGGTGGGGGGACAGTGAAGGAGGGCCGCCTCTCTGCTTTTTGCTCTGGAGGTCACAGGGCGGGTCTGGCCCTTTTCCGCCCCACCCATCCCGGTGTGTGGCTGCGTTGGAGCTGGTGGCCGCCCCCTCTCCGCCGCCGGTCATCGCATCCGTGGTCGCCTCCTCCTCCCCCTCCTCCTCCCGGATCCGCTGACGCAGTAAACGGCTGCAGAGAATGAGTCACGGAGCTCGCAGAGCGCGGCGAAGACCCGCCGTGCTAAATTTAGTGCAACAGACCAGCGGAGAGGGGCTTTAAAGGAGCGTCCAGCATAGAGATACAGCCAAGCAACTGTGGGGCGGTGGGCAGAGGGGCAAGTCCGCAACGCGTCTTCTTCAAAAGGAATCATTGAGCGGGTGGATCCGAAAGATTCTGCCAGGGCTTCTATGGATCGTCAGATGAGGGGGTCACTACGGGGCGACGTCCATTCCTTCGTCTGAACATGATCCTTTGGGGTTTCCAAAACACGTACAGCCAGATCAGTTAAGGGATCTACTCGTACATTGGTTAAACTGGACCAGTTTCGATCCTAGGTCGGTCCGTTGCCTGACTTGGCAGTGGGAATCTAGTTTTGTGTTCTCTGTCTTTTGAGGGGTTAGGCATACGAGCTTATTCTGCCTCCCCCTCCCTTTCCCCAATTCCCCAACATCTTCAGTCATATCAGGAAAAGTAAGGCATCACTGCCACACGTAAGTAGCAGCCTGTTTTACAACCGCATTAGCATTGAGAGCACCAGGAAATCAGCTCCGTTCTTAATACAATTTCCCAGCTCGGGAAACAGGTGGAGGGAGCGAGGGAGAGCGAGCGAGCACTTGTCGTTCTGAGCGAGTTGTCTTAAAGGCCATCCAGGCCACCAGACAGCCAGTTCCATGGTTACAGGTGGTGCAGGGTAAGGAAGAGCTTCTCTTTATTTGCCTTGAATTCCCCCTTATGGAAACCGCTGTGTGTCTATCCCCCCTCTTGGTAAGTAAGCCCTTCCACCCTGACTGGGCAGAATCCCCCCCCCCAATTGCATCCCTCACCATTCCTTCAAGTGGGAGGGGGGATGGAGTTCATCCCAGCCCTTCTTGCCCCAAACAGCCTTTCTCCTTCCCACTTCCCCACCCTGTTGACAATCTTTATGGAGGTTCCAGGAGGCATTTATCAGGGGAGGGAGGGGCTTGGGGATCGGGGTTGAGCCAGGAGCTTCTGCAGGGGCCTCCTCCTCCTCCAAGGCTGAGCACTAAGGAGGGAGGTTCACACACTTCAATCACAGGCCCTGCATTCTCCACAGTCTGGAGAGAACTTTGTGGTGGGGGAGCTCATGCAAGGAAGGCCCAAGAACAAACGCCTGAGCCCACCCCTCCCCCTGCCCCAAATTCATGTCATTTTAAAGGGAAGCCACAAAGTTTGGTCTCCTGCTGTCCTCTGGTGAGAGTTTCTGTCCAACTTCTCAAAAGTTCCTCCTGGAAGGTTCTGGAGCTCAGGAGCTACACTGCTGCATCGTCCTGACACCATGTCTTTTCATCATTACTTCTGAGGAGGGGGCAACGAGTGCTGTTAGAGGTTTTACTCAATGTGGAATAACTGAGCTGAGCCCCTCCCACAGCCTCAAATGGGGCAGGGAGCAGGGAGGCAAGCTCTGGCAGCCAGTCAAGGGGTTGGTCCCAATCCTGCCAGGGCAGGACTGCCCTTATGGCCGCTGCCTGTCTCACAAGATCGCCTGAGCTGTTGCCTTGCGGCATTTAATGTCCTCCCTGCCTTCTTCCCAAAGAGAAACCCAGGGGAAGAAGCCGGGACAGAGAGCTGCACTGCCAGCGAGAATTCTGGGAACAGCAGGGGAGACACCCTCCCCCACTCTTTGAGCAAAGGAGGTGGCTCCTTCTCCCTTGGCTTGCCTAGGAGCAACACGCTCAGCCCATGAAGCACAAAGGTGATGATGGGGGGAGATCCCAGCCTTGCTCCCAGGGCCTGCAGCAGGGCCTTGTCTGCTGAAGCCCCCCAGTGAAGGCATCTTGTGCTAGTTGCGCCTTTTCTTAGACCAAGATGCCCTTCGCACAGTCACTCATGCCCTGGTTACTTCTCCCTTGGATTACTGCAACTCCCTCTACATGGGGCTGCCCTTGAGGTGCACCCGGAGGCTCCAGCTGGTCCAGAATGCGGCCGCGCGGGTGGTTATGGGAGCTCCCCATTACTCCTATGTAACACCTCTCCTACACGAGCTGTACCAGTTACCAGTGGTCCTCCGGATCCGCTTCAAGGTGCTGGTACTTACCTATAAAGCCCTACATGGCTTAGGTCCGGGATATTTGCAGGACCATCTCCTACCCGCCTCCCACCGTCCTGTCCGCTCACACAGGGCTACCCTCCTCAGGGTACCGTCGGCCAGACAATGTCAGCTGGCAACGTCCAGGGGTAGAGTGTTCTCTGTAGGTGCTCCTGTCCTCTGGAATGAGTTACCCACTGAGCTTCAGATGGCGCCTGACCTCCGTTCCTTCCGTCGGGACTTAAAGAGTTGGTTGTTTCAACAAATGGGTTGACCCTGATCCTTGGGTTTTATTATTTTATTGTTGTTGTTTTAACTGGGTTTTAATTACGTTATCTTTTATTATTGTATGTTTTAACCTGTGTTCGCCTCCCTGAGTCCTTAGGGAGAAGGGCGGCATATAAATTTTTGGAAATAAATAAAATAAATAAATCTTGAAGGTTCAGGCTTTCAGGTTCTGCAGCTTCCCACATAAGCCTGGGAGAATTTGGGGTGCAGTGATGAAGGGGTGGAATGTCTGCAATATCTGTTTTCGGTCAGGGAGCCAAATGTTCTGTGACCATAAAAAAGGGGGCTCTGTTTGGCCCAGCCAAGGCAGCCAGATGAGAAAGTTCAGCTGGTTTCAATGAAGCCTATCTTTGCTATCTCCTGAGTCCCTGAAGGGGCAGAAACTGAGAGCTGGCAGCCACCGTGATGCCAGGCAGCATTTATACAGCATAGCTGCTGGCTGCCTGCTTGTGAAACAAAAGGTTGCCCGCAGCATGGCATTACTCTCCGCAATTTCCTCAAGAGTTTCTTTGAAATGGGGATCAGCACACAATTCCTGTGAAGCATTTATTATGGTGCCAGAGGCAGCAAAAGCCATCCGAGCGAGCACCAGAGGGATGCAGCCGTCTGTACAGAATTATGCGAACTAGAACATCCATGAGCAGAGACTGACGGAGTAAGGTGGCATCTCATGGGTATAAAAAGGAGGATCTGAGTTGGGGTGGCATGATTGATTGACTGAGAGAAAAACAAAGAGGCCATTAAAGAGTTCCATTATGGGCTTACAGTATCTTATCCTGGCTCAATCCCCAGTTTTTTTGGCCAGTTATTTCAACCACAATTGGCATTTTAAAATGCTTTCTGGTTGGGATGACAGGTTAGTGCATCTTCTCCAAGCCCTGGAAGGTGATTGGGGAGAGGCTGGAGGGCTTGGCTGGCCCTCCCTCAGTTTCTCACCAGGCTGCTATGGGGAGAAAGGGGGGAGGAGGAGGAGGGTGGGGCTCCTGCAGAAAAAGCAGATATTTTCTTTCAGGATGACTGGAGCTCAGAGGCCCCTCAGCCCCATCTTCACTTTGGGGTCACGTTGCTTTGGGATTTATCTGGGAAGAGACCAAAAGTATGTTCAGTGCTAGCTTCCCCATTTCCTCTTCAAAAACTGCCATGGGGGCAAAATGAGGGGGACAACATTCTTAGAGGGGAGCATTTAAACTGCCTGGCTTCCAATTTTTCTGCCAACATTACTGATAAAGGGAGGAGCTTGGCCGATGCTTCGAGGAATTTGGGAAACTCTCCCTCAGTTGGGTCTCATCTTGGCAGGCTAAATTCCTCGGTTCAGGATGGGCCTCTCTTGGTCACGGAATGGTGTGTATCGCCGCTTGTTACCCTCGGTTTAACATTGGGACACAGCACATGGCAACAATAGAAGAAGTTTGAAATGTAAGGGGAAGAATGAAAAGGCCCAGAAGAGCATGGAGTTGGATGCCAATGGGGGCTGCAAGAAGACTGAGGATGAGCAAAAATTCCCCGACCAAAAGGGTTGCTACAGAAAGCAAGGATGAGAGAATGGCCGCCCCCACATGGAGAGGGGGCAGTGGAGGCCGCCAGAAACAGCAAGGAACCTCTGAGGCAGAAAAAGTGGAGGCGGTCAGGAATAAAAGTTGCACCTATTTGGAAGTGAGCGCAGGAGACTGAATAAATAACCTACAAAACTGAATGAAAATCAAGGTGATGAAATTTGGAATACAACTAAAGTAAGGGAGTACATTGGAAGGAGTATTTCAGAGGTTAGCAAAGGAAAGAGTGGATTAATGCTACTCAAACAAACAAACAAACAGCTGGCATTCAGTATTTTTAATATTATTAATGTTAGCTTCCAGAAAAGGAATAATGAAAACGAAAACCTAAATACTGTGAGAATATTGAGAATGGTTAAGCCTGTGGTGTAACTGGAGAAATAAATGTTAAAATCAGGAGGTGGGTTGCTTATGGCTGCATGATTGTACAGGACATTTCTTGTTCTTTTACCAAAAGCAAAAGGTAACAACAGTGAACGCAAAGGAAACAGCATTTTTGGAACTGATGGAGCATGTCTGAGAATAAGCAGTTCACTAAGCGAATGTTTTGAGAACGGGCAGACAATTAAAGCCAAGGAGAGATTATTTTTCTTCTTAACATCATACATTTGTGATCTCTGTAGAAGGAGTCGCTGTGGAGAGGTTTGGGGTACGTCAATTGGGGATGCAGGTGTGCCGGAAGCATTGTATGCAGGGCGTGGAGCCACAGAAGGGCAGATTGGAACCGGTGGACTGTGGGTCACCCAGCCCAGTTCCTTGCCAGGCAGGAACAGAGGCCACCCCAGCCTCCCTTGAAACTCCCCCAGAAAGGACATCCCTTAATTCTGAGGCAGATGTTCTGCTCCAGATGTTAATGTGTTGTGGGCAGAGAACCTGAATGATCTGCCATGCTGGTTACATTGAAAAATGTGAGGGGGATGTCAGTCTATCAAAGACCAAGGCAGTTGTATTCAAACTGAATAAATAATTGTGAATCATACATAAATGAAAAACTAGCACAAAGAGTACTAGTTGACTTTGGCAGAATGCTCACTAAAGATGTCAAAGGGAAAAAAATTTAAGGGTAGCAGTCCCTTTCTTTCAATCCAATCCACTTCACAGGGTCGTTGTTGCTGTGGGGAAAAAGGAGGAGGAAGGAGTACTATGTTTGTTTTCTACTCTGGGCTATTTATAAAAAATAATATAGGCAGGCTACTAATAAATAAATGTAAATCCTGGTGTATAATTATTATTATTATTATTATTATTATTTTAAATTTATATAAATTTAAAAGCTTGCTTCTGCCCACTATTGTTATGGTGCATCAGGAGAAGCAGGGTGGGTAGGGTAGGGTAGGGAATCCCTCCTGTGAGATCGAAAGGAAGCCGAGAGGATCCCAAAGCAACCAGCCAGAGAAGAAGAAGAGGGAAGCTGCAGCAGGCGGGGAAGCGCCTCAAAAGGAAGTTTCAAGAACAGGACAGAAATTACAAATTGGAATGTGGATCTGGCAGAAACCAGCAGGGTCCTTGAGGAAAGAACCATCTCAACTAGACTGAGCTATATTTCCCTTTTTTCTTATGCCTTTAATTTGTTCAGGTGTTTCTTATGCCTTTTCTGCACAATCCCTCAAAAGTTACTGGCTGTTTATCAAAGAGGCCACAACCCTTTCATGCTGATGAGGCATTTGGGGGTGGAGCTTCCGGCCACTGTAGGACATCCCCCCTTTTGTCCCATTTTCTGTCCTAAGGAAAGCCAAAGGACAAGCAGGCCCCAAAAGGTCTGCAAATCTAGTTCACAGGCACCCCGAGTCTGCTTCCTTTTTGTCCCCAGTCGAACTTCTAGCTCTGCAACCTGGCTGCCCCACCCCATCTCTGGAAGAGAACTGGCCCTATGGGACAGGCCCCGAATATGTCACCCCAGAGAATTAGACAGAGAGGCTGCAGCTGTGCTTGAAGGGAAACTGAATTCGCAGACAGCTTCCCCCCTCCCTTCTAAATGGCCTCTGGCTTGCTCTCCAAAGAATGAACAGGGGGGCTGGTCAGTTATGAGAGAGGGGCGTGCCAATGCCCCCTCCACATCCCCAGGGATCAAAATAAGGGGCGAGGATAGGAAGAAGGCTGCTGGGGGTGGGCGGCTGAGGCAGGGAGCGGCAAAGCCCAGGTGGGAGCGAAAGAATTTGCATTTAGAGGCTTCTCCTAATGCTGCACAAGGCTCACTTTGAACGTGAGGCTTGAGAAAACTGGGCAGGAGGCCCAGCAATAGGACGTGGCGACCTTGTGCTACCCCCCCCTCTCTCCCTCCCTCCCTCCCTCCTCATATGGCCACATTGACTGTTGCCAGGAGCACCGACTACGTCAGCCCCGTTGCCAGGCTCCCTCACCGCAGCCATGTGGCTGTTGCCAGGGAGGGCAGCAGAAGCAGCTGTGTCCCTTGGGGGGCAGCAGAAGCAGCTGTGTCCCTTGGGGTTGCACCCTCAACCTGGATGTAGCCTTGGACCCAGATTGCTGCTCTGCTGCCCACTGTGGTGGACAAACAGCTGGCCTTGGGGCGTGCTCCAAAGGTGGGGATGCTGTCCTTTCAAGGCTGAAGATAGAGGTAAGGCTGATGTATCTGGGCCTTGTATGTAACCCAGATCAAAGGGATGGCGTGTGTGTGTGTGACTTTGTGTTAGATTGGGCCATGGTACCACCTGGATGCCTTCCTAGTCCCCTGTACCTAGGGACGAACCTGGCAGTTGAGGCCCCGGCCTTTGGTTTTGGGGACAGGTTGGTTTGGATCTACTAGAGCCCAGGAGTTCATGGCTTCTCTCAGGTAATCTCAGTCCTGACACCCATCACCCCCTTTCATTTTGGAGCAATAGTGATCTGGACAAGGAGGGGGTCCATCGCCCCTTTCTCAAGGCCAGACTATTCCCTGAGGCTATCCACCTCTGCACGGTTTCACCATTCGGGTGGTGAGCCCCAGATGGCTCAGGATGGCCTCTGAGGGGCGCATAGGACTTTTTCAATCACCTGGCAGGGAAGACCATCAAGGGCCTTGTCCACCACTGGCCACAAGCAAAGCCTTGGGCCCTTGGCATAACTGATCCTGAATGGCCCCTGGTCAACCCTGGGCATCTCCTTGGTCTCTGCAGGGTCTCCGGAAAAGAAGGCGCAGATGCCACTCCTAGAACAGAAGGGCAAGAGAGGAATGGACTGAGCCAGGTGTGTGCCCAGTTTCAGCCCTGCTGGGTGGCGGTAAGAGAAGCCAAGCACTTTTCCTCCTCATCCATTGCCTCTGTGGGCTGCTGTCCACTCCAGTGGCCTTTCTTAGGGTGGCTAATTCTATTGCAAGGGCTTCTTGTTGGCACTGTGACACAATGCTGGGCCAGCAATGTCACTCACTTTCACCCATGTCTTAACTCCACTTGACTTGCCAACAATCAGGGATTCTTCTGGCTGGTTCCCTCTCAGGAAGGGGACAGGGCACTCTCTCGGAGGCCCTCTCTGCCTTGCAGCTGGGGCCCTTGTGGCTTCCTTCCCTCCGTCTGGGAGGCGGTCCATGTCTCCTGGCAGAAGAGCCATTTCTGGTGATCCTGAAGGAGCCTGTGGGGGAGCTCCTCCATCTCCCTGCATCCACTGGTGCTGAGCAGCTGCCGCTCGGCTGCTCTTTCTTACTAGGTTGTTGATTTGGTGGCAAACCACCGTCTTCAGACGAAGCGGAAGGTCTGGAACCTTGTCAGGATTCAGACCTGGACGTGGGATGAAAACAGCTTTGTTTGTACTGCTAGGTAAGATCCCTTCTTGGAATCTGGGAAGAGTGCCCCAGTCTGGCTCCTTTCAGGCCTCTCAGGATGGCTTCCAGTGCCATCCATATGGCATCATTAGGGACCTGGTCAGGATTGGAGGCGCCTCACTCAAAGGCTGGTCCCATCAGGGTGACAGGAGGGGGGGGGTAACTTAAAACCCGTTTGACCTCTGTATGAAGCCACTGAGTGAGGGAGTATTAGGGTAACTTGGGGTTCAACACCATCAGTGTGCTGAGGGTATCCCCAGCTCTGCCTCAGCCTGCACTGGTGGGGCCCATTCCAGAGTCTGGTTGGGAGAGAACTGGAGCAAGGAGGAGCTGCGGTTTGTCCATCGGGATGCCTGGGGGCCCCCAGGAGCAGCTCTTGATGGAGAACCCACGACCGAAGTCCTCCTACTGTGAACCATAGGTGAAAAGCTTGACCAATGCCCAGCTGTGGGCCCCTGTGGGGCAAGAGGGTTAGCCACAGGTACTCTTGGCATGAGGGCTCCCAGCACTGTTGAAGGGTCTGCCATTAAGTGTAGGGCAGGAACCTCAGCTGGCCCCACAAGGGCTGCCGATTATCTAGCGCTGACTGATGGGGCCACCTTAACACCCATGGCCTTGGCTCCCAGGGGCAGCTCTGGGGGCTCAGCCCTTTCAGATGCCTTCTGAAGTGCCTTCATCCCCTAGAACCAGCCCTTCTGTTCAGTCTCGCTGGAAGAGCAGCTGTCTTCCACACTTGGAGGAGCACGGAGTGTATGTGTGTGGGTGTGTGTGGGTGGGGAGCAAAGTCACTGCTTTTCCGCACTGGCCCTGCAGAATGGCCTCCCACTGGATTGGGAGCTCTGGCTTCAGCGCCTCCTGGAGTGTGGAGGACAGAGGTACACTCGGGTGTCGAACGGTTTTAACTGGACTAATATTTTCACCGTGTTTGAACTCCTGTCAAGATGCCAAGGGTCCTGTGGGGCAGTGGTGGGGTATAAATGTAATAAATATGAATAGGATATGGCCAACAGCCAGGGTAGTCAGGTGGGAAGCCTCTCCACAGCACTGAGCAGAGAGAGGGAGGGAGGGAGAGATGAAGAGAGAGAGAGAAAGAGAGAGAGAGAGAACATCTAGGCTGATGGGGCTTTAGTGCCCAGCACACAATTTGGGTCCCAGCCCTCTGGAGAGGCCACCCGTCCTCCCCTTCCCACGGGCTGCTCCCTAGGGAAGGGCTGTGGCTACAGGCCCTTGCACCAGAGCCAATGGGGGGGGGAGTCCCCTTCCTGGGGCTGCCTCTCCTCTGCCGGGATGGCCTGTGTGGCTCACCTGAGAGGACAGATTGGGCTTGTCGGAAAGGCAGGGGAGACCTGTGGTGGACAAAGTGGCCTTGGGAAGGGAGGGGGGGCTCTGCCCTTCAGATGTCGGCCTCCAGCAGGTACTGCTCAGTGTAGTCCTTTGCCAGCTCCAGGCCCAGGGTCTCCTGGCAGAAGGCGGCCATCTCCAGCCACAGCTGGGGCTCCAGGAACAGCTGGCACATGACGCCGCCCCGCACGGTGGGCACCTGGAGGCGCAGGTGGTGGATCAGCTGGCTCTTGAGGTGGGCCCCATTGCGGCCAAAGGCATCGATGTTCAGGTAGTGCCAGTCTTTGCCCAGAGGGATGGAGAAGGGCTGGGTGCTCAGGGTGGCCACAGTCGGGTGGGCCTTCTGGTCGACCACCCAGCGGAGGCTCTTTTTCTGCAGGAGGCCAAGGTTGCTCCGGGTGGCCTTGAAGGGCTGCCAGTCCTGGATGATGGTCTGGTTTGGCAGGACTTCGCTCCGAAAAGCCTCCTTCAGAACGACCTCCGGCACCTCGTTCTCCAGGAGCAGCTCCGAAGGCTCGGGGCTGAAGCCCCCATGAGCCAGCATCGCAGCGTCCAAGCGGGAGAGCACCTCCTGGGCCTGGAAGCGCACCAGAAGGATCCCCTGGAAGGGGAGGAGGGTTTTTGGGGGGGGGGGAAGATCCTGGCAGGGCAGCAACCGAGCCATTGACTGCTGGGGGGCATCTCTGGTAGGCGGCCCTTCTCTGCCTGCTGGCATCCTGTCCGAGGAGACCCCTGGGGCCGGCCCTGCTTCCTTTGGCCATAGGAGGGCCTGCAGTGGGTCCCATCTAGTTCAGACACGAGGGGGGAACCCCCTTTCTCCAGGCACTTCTGGTTTGGCCAGATCCCTATTTGCTTCTGTGCCTCCAGGCAGCTTAGATATGGCATGGAGGGCTTAGAAATGGCAGGGGGTGGGGAGGAGGGAGGGGTTTTTCCTGGAAGCCAGGACTGCAGGGAAGGCAACCGGGCGGGGAGGGCTTTCTAGGCAGCCAGTGGATTGGCCCCAAGTGGATCTTGGGGGCCTTTTCCAAGAGGAATGGAAAGAAGGGGGCAACGAGAAATGGGCCGAGCCACAAGGAAGGAGCTGCTGAGGCTTCCTGGCAGGAAGGGTGACTGAGGAGCTGGGCGGCCATGGAGGTGGGCATGGCCAGCAGCTGTGGCATCCCCTCCTGTGTCTGGGAAGGGTCTTGGGCTGAGCAACTGGGCACCTCCCCTCCCTCGGACTCCGGGAGGAATCCTCTACTTCTGGGATGCTGCCAAAAGAATTTTAGGAAAATTGTGCCCATTTTGAGGAAAGTCTAAACAGAACTGTCATTGCTCCTTCAAAAGCGGATGCTGTCCCTCCCCCGATGGCCTCCCTTCCCCGCCCCCCAATGCCGAATGGCTGCCCTTGTTTCGGGATCTGTGGTCCAGAAGGAGCCATGCTGGGAATAATCCACAGTAATTCTGCCAGCCTCTCCTTGGGCAGAGGTCCTTCTGCTCCAGGGGTTTCCTCCTCATCTGGGGCCCAACATAGTACCTCCTTCCCAAAGAGCTGAGGGAACCGCAGCATCAGGCGGCAGGTGTGGGTATGCATCCTGTCGGCTGAGGCCTGTGCCTTCTGGCAGTGCCCCTGGCTGGGGCTGAAGGGCTAAGTCCTTGGCCTTAGCTTGCCAGGCTTGCCCAAGATCTTGAGCCCCGGCTCAGGTTTGCGTGCCCAACAGGATGTGGCAATTGGCCTCTCTCCCAACAGGATGTGGCAATTGGCCTCTCTCCCGTCCGAGTCCTGTGTTCCTGGACTAGGCCTAGCTAGTCCAGGAACACAGCCCCTTGGTATACTTGGTCCTGCCCCCCGCCCAGAAGAGACAGGTCGTTCCAGAGCAGGGTTCATTCACCTGTTTTGCAATGATGCGATACTTCCTCAAGTCTTTGGGGCCCAGCTTGTCATCCCGGGTCAGGCGTGACACTTTGACTTCTGGATGCTTCTCCTTCACCATGGCAGAGCAGAATCGCTGCAAGACCCCAGCCACACCTTTGCCACGCTCCCAGGGTGCCACGCGCAGTCCCTCCACTAGGGCGGTCTCACCCGCATCAATGATGTAGACAGACTGGAGCCCTATCTGGGGGCAGATTGGGGGGGGAGCAAAGAGTTAACTTCCAAGGCGTCCAATAGATGGAGCAAGCACTGGAGGGGTCCTAGCCCCACATGAAATGTGGCCACTGAGGATCCAAACTCTACCAGCCCCTCTGCACTCCTCCAAGGAAGCCCCCCCCCCAGGTTCTTTGATGGGGACCAGAGCCCCGCCTGACACCTACAGGAACAATCCAGTGAACATGAAACTACAGTGTGCTCTGAAGGAGAGCGGATGGGGTTTCTCTTGAGGGTCCTTCTTCTCCAGCTTATAAAGTGGGGGGCATCCAAGCAGTGCCTGGTGAGTCCCTGCCTTGGCCTGAGTATTCCTTCCCAAAGCTTCGGTGGGGGTGGGTCTCAAGTGTGGCTTATTCAGCAAAGTGAAAGACCCTTTGGAAGCATTTTCTGCTTCACAAGTGTCTTCTTCCATTTTGAAGAACACAAAAAGGGACTGCATGGCTAACCCAATCTGGCCTCTAGCCAAATGCTTTTGGGACAATGCATGTTTAGAAACTATTTGTCAAATTCAGGTTGTTCCCTCCACAACCTGACAAAAGTAATTGGACACAATATAGGTACATAAGAATGGGTAAGGTCCATGTCTCTCCTTTTGCTTGGGGGCTATTTCCCATTTGTCAGTTGCCATTGTAAGCTTGGCTGGACTCTCCACCATGAGGGAGGTGCACCAAGAATTCTGTAAACCCCTCTTAAGAGTAATGGGCAAACCCACAATGCTGCTATAACTCGACCCCTCTTGAAAACAGAAGGATGTAGCAGTGCACCTGCTTGGGATGCTGGGGGTCCCGGGACCATCCCCTTGGAGAGACAATAATTGGGCAGCCAAAGGCCCCATTTCCTCTTTCGGAAAGGGGCCAGGTCCTTTTGTTCCAGTGACCCATGTTGCTCCCCACTAGCCTCTCCCCCACCAACCCCGCCCATGGCAGAGGGTCTTGCTGCCCGGCTTCAGTTCCACTTGGGAAGGGGTGGGGAAGAGCATCCCAGCGAGCCATCCCAGCTTCGCACGGGCCCTTACCACCACGCCGTTCTTCTTGGCCAGCACAACGGTGCGATTCGGCTCATGGATCCAGGCATGGTAGCGGCTTGGGAGGTAGTCGAGGCCTCCATAGATCCCCTTGGAGATGGCCAGGATCTCCTCAAAATCTCTTTCTGTGGCAATGGCGAACTCCAACTGCGAGTCGGCTGCACTTTCCAATTTCATGTCTCGCACAGGCAGCTGCGGCTGCAGGGACACAGACTTCCATAAATGCCCCAGGAAGGGCCACGGATGGCAATCCCCCAGCCCTCCCCGAGCAGCCCAGCCAGCCTCCAGTACGGTGCAGGGCGCATATGCTCCCTTGGGTGGGATGGAGAATGAGGGTGGACAGGGAGAAGAAGAACTGGGGATGGGCATAAGCCCAGCAAGAGAAGGTGGTTCCATGATCCCTGCGAGTCATTTGGTCATCTCTGTCTAGCTGGTCCTTCCTGCTTCCCGTAGATTTCAGCAGAAGCCCCGCTTGGCACCCTACAACCAGGTGGGGAGGGAGACATGTTGTCACAATACAGGTTGTGCCTTGGGGAAAATGCAGCCTGGGGATCAGGATGAAGCAAGCATATCCATCCTTACATCCAGTCAGATCCAGGGAATTTGTGACAGTCAAAGCTTATTTTTTGTTAACCATGCAGCCACCATCTCAAAGGGAGAGCAAGAACCAATGGCAGGTGGGTGCCTTGTTTTCAGAGAGACCCATGGAAGCCACTGCCTGGAGACGGCTGAGCAAAATGCCAGTGTGGAACCAAGAGGCCCACCTGGTGGGCTGGAAGGAACTGCTTGACCAAAGATGGACGCAACCAAAGTCCTCTCTTCCCACCCCAGAGTCAAGCAGACGCTGTCAGCCCAATGCCCTTGATGTGACCTCTGCCCTCCTATTTTGCCACCATTTTCTCCTGGTGGCAGGAGCCCCTCAGTCAAGACGGTCTTAAGACTGGAATGGAAGTTCAGCCTCACCTCCCTCAGTCCAGGTTCGGTTCCCTGGCCCGTGAACTGGCCCACAAAGCTCGCCTGACAAAATCACACACACACACACACACACACACACACACACACACACACACACACGGGCCTCCAACGGCCTCGTTCCTGCTGGTGAGGTGATGAGCCCTAGAAACAGAAAAGGCACCAAGGGGGAGCGCAGCTGTCACCCTTCCTTGGGAAAACCTGCAGGGCGGAGCTCGGGACCGAGGAGACCCCCGGACCAGACACCGCTCCAGCCAGCCATCCTTTCCTGGCCAAATCTTCTGCTCGGCCCTTTGCAGGGGAAAGAACCCGTGGGATTGGGACCGGAGGGAGACGTTCCCTCTCCACGGAAAGGTCCCGGAGAGTGAACGGAGGCGAGGAGAAAGCCAACTCGCCCCCCACTCCCCGCCGCCGAGGCCTTTCTCAGTTGGAGGAGCTGCCGGCAGCAGCCAACTCCGGCTCCGGCGGCAGAAAGAAGGGAGCAGGACGCTAACCACGCCAGCGCCTCACGCCAAATCCCCCAAGCAGCCCCGCAACTGTTTCCCCCGACACCCGCCGATGCCGACAGGCCGATGCAGGGAAGTATCGCCAATACCTGCGGAAGCGCAGAAGGGCAGAGAGAGGCTCGAGCCGATGGCGCACCTGCCAGGAACCTCTGGCCGTTGCGGTCTCGCGTCGGTCGGATGGCCGGGCGGTCCCTTTCCGCCTAAAGACCTTCTCGTCTCCCAGTAAGGATGGAGATAAGCTCCCCCCATCCCTCTGCCCCGCCCACGAGCGGCTCGGGAGGGCGCCTATTCCTCCCACTCTCGCGCGCTTTTACGTCAGTGTTGGGGGAGGAGAGGGCACAAGAGAAGAGCGTGGGAGGCCGGACGAGCAGATGCTTCTCTCCCCACCGGCAGGTGCCGGGCACCAGCTGCCTTCAAAGCTCCAGAGCGGCGCGGGACCCCGCAACAGGGCAAGGACGCCCACCGCAGGCAGCAGGTCCCCCTCTGGCAGAGCCAGATGGCCCCTGGCTCTAGTGAGCCTAGCTGGGCTAGGGGTCCTGGGCTGTCCTCTCTCCCGGACCTGAAAGAGCCGGAAGTCATCCTAACTGGTGGCCGGGAGCCGGCGCTGGGTGCAAGGATGGAGGAAGCGAGGAGAAGTTGCTTTCTCCTAGCCCTGGAGGAGAGCAAGGGAACCCGAGTTGAGCGCCAGATTAGATAAGGTGCATCTGCACGGAGCACCCAAAGGCACCCATCTCTCTTTAAAGGCTGGGCTGGGTCAGAGCCACCTTCCAGCCCTCCTCTATCTATCTATCTATCTATCTATCTATCTATCTATCTATCTATCTATCTATCATCTATCATCTATCTATCTATCTATCTTGCAAGCACAGAAGAGCACAGGGAATAATGGGATTAAAATAAAATATAAAGAAACCAAGGACAACGGACACAAAAACCAAGCTTAGAACCGACAATGGAGTGGTATTAAAAAAGGTGGGATAAAAATCTAGCAATACCATTGAGGGGTCAATCATCCGTCATAAAGGAGCAAGCAATCAAGGCCTCTGCCAGGGGCGGGACTCCGGTAGAGCAGCCCCGAAGGCCTCCTTGGAATGCCCCGGGTGACGTCTGTACCTACAAAGACCAGACCTGCCGAGCCAGCCAGCGACAGTTGGACTTGAAGAAGACTTTGGGCTGGGAGAAGGCCCCTGACAAGGCCGGACAGCCAAGAAAGCCACCGGTGCGTCACCAAAGGAATCAACCCGGAGTTCTCACTCGAAGCATCAACGGTCCCACTTCGAGCACAAAACGCGAAGGCCCAGCTCGAGCTCTGGAGGGGCTCCGATGCTGGGAAAGCGAGGAGGAGGAGGAGAGAGGAAGAGGAGACCCACTTACTGTGGCGATGGGTGGAGCATAAATTGGAAGGGCTGAAAGATCAGGTTACGGACGGAGCGTCATGGAGAAAGTTGGTCCGCGTGCTGCCCAAGAGTCGATAATCACTTGGGGACACAGAAACAGTCAATAACAAAATAGCCACGCCGCGTATCCGAACGGCCCGTTGCAGCAATCCAGCCGGCGTGACCGCGGGAGGCGTGGGGAGGGGTGGCTGGGCGGGACGGTGAGGCGGGCTCCTTTGTGAAGGGCCCCCGGTAGCCTCAGCCTCGCGGTTCGGGGGGACACTGGCCTGATTCTAACCAGCACGGCTGTTTTTGAACTCCTAGATGAGCCATTCTCCTCCCGGGCATAAAGGAGTAAGTGAAAAGCCAGAGACTCCACGGACAAAGAACTCGGACGGAGACCCCGGGAGGGACGGAATCGACCCAGATTCTTTGGGGATTGAACCTGGGTGTTGATGTTCCTTGCACCGGGGAACCCTCCCCTCCCCTATCCAGGCCCAAACCACGGACTCTGCCCCATAGGTCCAAAGCTCCCTTGCAGAGCCCTAAACCACGCTGAAGGGGCAGTCCGCGCCAAGGATGCCCCGGGGTCTCCCCGCCTTCCCCGCCCCGCCGCCTACGGGAAGCCTCCCCTGGCCAAGCTCCCCGCGACTCCCGCGGAGGGCGGCTGCCGAGACCCGTCCCAGCCGCTGGGCAAGCCTCTGCAGCTGCGTCTGCGCCTCCCCCGCCCCGGCCCATCTCTGGAGGCGGGGTAAGGGTCCCGCGGTGGCTGGTTGATGTGGGTGGGGGAAGGTGGCGAGCTAGCCCGACTCCCTCCGCTCAAGGCCGGCGCTGCCCGAGCGGGAGTGCCAGGCCCACAGGTGAGGCTGCCGGAGGAGGCTCGCCACCGACCTCGTGGCGCAACGGTAGCGCGTCTGACTCCAGATCAGAAGGCTGCGTGTTCGAATCACGTCGGGGTCAATATTCTTTTACTCCGGGCTGCGCTGACACGCAGGGGAAAGACGGAGCCTCCGGGTCGGGAAATTGGCTCCGCTTGATCATGGATGCACCGCTCCCTTCCCCCAACAGCCCTGAGTTCAGCTCCATCTGGGGATCCACCCCAGGCCAGGTCTACAACACTCGAACCTCCCCACGGCGCCCCCTCCCCAGCCCTCGAAGGGGGTCTCCGCCTCCTCCTGTCCCGCTCCCGTTTTTTGCTCGGTCGCTCCGTCTCTTGGTTTTGAAAATTCTGTTCCGGGATTGGTCCGTCGCCGTCCCGTCCAACAACAGAACTCCTGCCCGGGTTTTGCGATACGCTTATGCCAGCTTGCACTGAACAGCCAGGCCCGCGCGGATGCTAGCCGGCGGGTGGCGCCGTGGCTTAGTTGGTTAAAGCGCCTGTCTAGTAAACAGGAGATCCTGGGTTCGAATCCCAGCGGTGCCTTTTGCGAGCCTCCCATTTTGCGGGTGGAGGCCGGAGGTGGCCCCAAGCGCCGCGGAAGGCGGCGACGACGACCCTTTCCCTCGCAGCCACCCCTGGAGGGCGGCCCTTCCCCATTGGCATAGATTCAAGCCCTGTAAGGAGACCGGGGGCCGACCAGCGCCAGCCATGAAGAGCAGGGTAGCGCGGCCGGAGGGCAGGCACACGGGCCGCCGAGGGCTACCTGAGGCCATTGGAACCTCGCGGTTAGCGGGTCAAAGGGAAAGACCCTCGAGGGTCCCCTCCGGCCGCCCAGGTCAAGGCCGGAAAGGTCTGCCGAGCCCCACCCACCCGCCGCGACTCCCTCCTGGCTCCCCCGAAATGGGGAGGCAACACTTAGAACGTGCAATCCTGGGGCTGGAAGGAACCTTGGAGGTCTTCTCGTCTAACCCCTACTCAGGACAGGATGTGTACCAGCCGGCCAAATGGTCGTCCGGTCTATTTTTGAAAACCTCCAGTAATGGAGCACCCACCACTTTTGGAGGAAAGCCGTTCCATTGATTGTTCTGGCAGTCAGATTTTTTTTCCTTCATTCTAGGTTGGATCTCCCTTTCATAAAAAAAATATGTGGCGAGAAAGTCAATCCCTTTTTTGTGATAGCCCCTCAAATCCTGGAAGACAGTAATCCTGTCCTCCCCAATGGTTCTCTTCGATTGACGCACCTGATTCCTTCAACCGTTCATCAGGATTCCTCCTCCGGACCCCTTATCATCTTTCCATGGCTTTTCTGCCCTTTTTCTAGAGTCTCAGCATTTTTTAAATATTGTGATGACCAGAACTGTATGCAGTTTTCCAAGCATGGCCTCACTAGTGCAGCAGCAGCAGCAGCAGCAGCAGCAGCATCACTTCTTGGGACCCATGATGCTATCCCTGCTCTGTTGATGCAGCCTAGGATTGCCCCGGCCTTTTCACAGCTGTAGCACATTGGTGGCTCCTATTTGTCCACTAGGACTCCTAGATCCCTCTCACAGTTACTGTTGTTGAGCCAGATACTCTTATATCTGTGCATTTGGTTTTTCTTGCCCAAGTGTAAAACCTCTTTTCTCAGTGCTGAATTGCATTTTGATAAGGCCCAGTGCTCAGGTCTGTCAAGATCCTTCTCAATCTTGAATCTATGTTTCAAAGAGTTAGTAATCCCCACCAGCTTTGTGTGGTCTACAAATTTAGTGAGTTCCCCTTCTATCCCGTCATCTAAATCATTTATGAATTTGTTGAAGAGAACTGGGCCCAAGATGGAAACTTGGGGTTCCCCGCTGCATGGTCCCTTCCATGTAGATGAGTTCCATTGAGGATTATATGTTGAGTGCATTGGTCAACCAGTTACGAATCCATCTGGTGAGGATCCTGCCTATCTCATATTGTTCTATCTACTTTGTCTAATGACTTACTGAAGTCTACTTGGATGAGGGCTAACATGCAGCTTGCCCACCCCCACCCCCCCAATTGACAAGTGGCCCCCAGTTGCAAAGCCTCCAGCCCACAGGAGGGGCATCTTGTCATTTGTGTTCTTCTTCCATAGCCTCCTTTGGTCTAAGCTCCCTATAGCCACATCTGACAACTCCATGCCCATTCTTTAACAGATTAACAGAGTTGGAAGGGACCTTATAGGTCATCTAGTCCAACCCCCCCACCCCCGCTCAAGCAGGAGTCCCTACACCATTTCTGACAAATGGCAGTCCAATCTTTTCTTGAAAGTCTCAAGTGATGAAGCTCCCACAACCTCCAAAGGCAAGCTGTTCCATTAGTTGATTGTTCTGTCAGAAAGTTCCTCCTCTTTTCTAGGTTGAATCTCTCCTTGGTCAGTTTCCATCCATTATTTCTTGTCTGGCCTTCAGGTGCTTTGGAAAATGCTTGACTCCCTCCTTTCTGTGGCAGCCCCTCAAATATTGGAACACTACTATTATGTCTCCCCTGGTCCTCCTCTTCACTAGACTAGCCATGGTTAGTTCCTGTAACCATTCTTCATGTTTTAGTCTCCAGTCCCCTAATCATCCTGGTCGCTGTCCTCTGCATTTTTTCTAGTCTCAACATCTTTTTTATAGTGTGGTGACCAAAACTGGATGCAGTACTCTAGATGTGGTCTTACTCAGGCTTTATAGAATGGTAGTAGTACCTCACTTGATCTTGATTGTATCCCTCTGTTAATGCAATTTAGGATTGCATTGGCTTTTTTGGCTGCCGCTGAACACTGCTGGCTTATATTTAGCTGGTTGTCCACCAAGACTCCAAGATCCCTCTCACAGTCACTGCTATTAAGCCTGGTTTCCCCCAGTCTACATGCATGCTTTTGGTTTTTCTTACCCAAGTGTAGGACTTTACTTTTCTCTACATTGAATTTCATTTTGTTAGATAGGGCCCAGCGTTCAAGTCTGTCAAGATCCATCTGGATCTTGAGCCTATCTTCTAGTGTGTTAGCTATTCCTGCCAGCTTAGTATCATCTGCAAATTTGATAAGTTCCCCTTCTATTCCCTAATCTAAGTAGTTTATGAAGATATTGAAGAGTACTGGGCTTAAGACGGAACCTGGTGGCACCCCACTGCTTACTTCTCTCCGTGTAGACTTAGACCCATTAAGGACTATTTGCTGAGTACGGTTTCATCTGAGTATAGTTTCATTCAATGCAGAAAGCAGACGTGAGTGCCACAAAATGTAACACTCTTTATTGGGACTGGGGAGCAGAAGAGGGGACCCCTGCCTGAGCCTGCAGCAGAGACAGGCGCCCGGTTCCCTGGCCGGGGAGGGGGTCCCTAGGTGATGAAGAGCTGCTGTGAGGAGGGGAGGCCACAGTTGCCCTTGTGCTCCTCGAAGAGTTGCTGCAGTGCCTGGACATAGAGGGCATGGTAGCGGTCCACCTCCTCCGGTTTGGGGTGTGGACACAAAGGGACGAGGATCGGCTTCCCCACTGCAAATGAGAGAGAAAATATGTGTGTTTGTGTGTCTATGTGAGAGAGAAAGTGCAACAGAAGGCTGATCCTTCCCTTCCAGTGCAGGCTGTCCTCCCACAGCCTGAGGTGGTGGTGGTGGGGCGGGAGAAGATCCCAGGCTCACCCACAACCGTGATGGGGGAGGGCTGGGGCAGGAGCCCCCAGCAGCGGCTGAAAAAGAGGCTGCGCCCCACGAAAAGGCAGGGAGCAAAGCCAGCCAGCTGCTTGAAGTGAAGCTGGAGACGGCGGAGGAGGCTGCCCTCGGGGAACTGAATCTGCCGGAAAATGTCATTCTCTCCGAAGGAGAAAACGGGGACGAGGTCTGCCCTGGAAACAGAAATGGGGAGAGTCTGCACAGGGGACAGAGACGAGAGCCCCCACCCCCCCCCCCCCCCCCCCCCCGCCCACAGCATGGTGTTCTGCACTTTGGGCTCTCTCAGCCTAGAGCTTGAGAAGAGCATTGCTGAAGGCTGCTGAGACCTCTTCCACTGATAGGTGAGGAAGTGGGGACCCCCCCAAAAGTGCCCCCATTCACCCATTCCAGAAGCCCATCCCTTATTCCTGCCATGGCTGTAGGGAGACCCTCACCCGTGCTGCAGTGCAAGCCGCACGAAGCCTCGCCTGCCCGAGAGATGCAGGCGCTGCTCGCCCGGGTTGCAGTCCAGGGACTCTGTGGCCCCGCCCACCACGATGACCACCGCGTGTCCAGGTCCCGCTCGGAGCAGGAAGTCCAGGGACCTCTTGCTGACTGGCACCATCCCTGGAAGGGGACAAGGAAGGTGGGAGCAGAGACCCGAGTTTGGAGTGGGGGGAAAGCCGCTTCATTGTATAACTCTAGTGCGCCTTCGCATGGTGGCTGGATTCGCCACCCTCCCTGGGCCAACCAAGTGCAAGCGGGGCACCTGGAGCCTTCTTTGCCCTCTGCCTCCCAGCTCAGGGAACTGCTGACTCCCCTCCCCTCCAAGGAGATTCCCTTAGTGCTTAGTCGGTCTTCCCAAAGACAGACATCCTAGTCAGAAGCAGAAAGGTCCAAGGTGGAGGATGGATCCTCTCTTAGCTTGAGGCTGTGTCCCAAACACTCTAAAGAGAGGGTCACTGCAGCACTCTCCACCCCGCAAATCTCCCACGCCTCAGAATGCCAGAACGGTTGGGACCCTGGTCTCGAAGGCTTCAAGGACGTGGGCCCAGAAACCAGACTGAGGTTGCTGGGGCTGGGGAAAGAAAAGGTTTCCCACCTGAGCTCATCAGATACTCGCGATACACGGGCACGTAGAAGAGACCAGCGAGGACGGCCAGGCTGGAGGACAGGCCGGGAAAGGCCCGGGAGAAGCCACATGCCTCCGTGCAAAAGGCAGAAAAGGCTCCCGCACAGATGATGCCATGGGGGTGGGACCCCAGGACGTAATTTCTGGTGGGTGGCAGTTCGGCAGTCTTCACCAGCTGGGGAGAAGAAGCAGGGGGAGAAGAGGACCGGTGGGGCTGCCTTCTCTTTCCCACACTGGTGGCCAGCCGCCCATAGGCAGAACAGGCCTGAGTGCAAGTGGCAATGGGTTCCACAGGCTAACCATCCTGCCCAAATAGATCCTGGGCCTTAATCAGCTCCCCATTTTCCAAGACATTGAGAAGCTGGACCTGTGGCCCTTTCTCCACCCACATCTGTGCTGCTGGCTGGGGCGGGTTTTCAGCTGCGGCCTTTCCTGGTGCTCTCCAGCCCCACCAGAATGACCCTTCTTGGGTTTTTGGACACTGGCCAAGAGTATGCCGGCCCCTTAAATGGGCCCAGTGGGAAGCAGCCCTTTTGGGGGAGCTGCATGGGGCCGTGTCCCTTCAAAGGAGACCAGCTGCTGCGCCTCCACCCCGGGCTCCTCCTACCTTGATGGGGAAATAGTTCCTGTGCAGCTCCCAGACCTTCCACCGCCTGAACCGCTCGTTACGACGGCCTCCTGGCAGGACAAGCACAACAGCCAAGAGTGGGTGGCTGCTCCTGCAAGGGGAACAGTGGGGCCCGGCTCCCCACAAGGCCTAACTCCCAATGTTGGCCTTCCGAGGGAAGGAGGCGGCTGTGGCTGCTGGATCAGCAGGGTGGGGGAGGTGTTCAGTGGCCAGATCCAGCTTCACCGGGGAGGGGGGGGAACCTGCACGGCCAAAAATCCACGCAGACCGGGCAAGAGGGCAGCGCATTTTAGAAGGCCACTGCCCAAAGACCACGGTTCTTGTCTTCCCTTGGCCCCCATCCCCCGCCCAGCTCCACAACTGCATCCCACAGGAAAGGGGACCTGGTGTCCAAGCCCGACAGCACCCCCTTGGGGAGACACAGCAAGGGCCCCCAGGGTCTTGCTGCAGGAGAATCAGGAAGATGCCTGGCAGCTTGAAGCTCCGGTGGGCAGCCCTGGGTGGGGGAAGAGAGTGGGGATCCCAGGGAAGGAAGGAAGGAAGGAAGGAAGGGGGCAGCTGGGCACCTTGCATGGGGGTGTCCAAGTCCATAATCCACCAGACGAAGTAGAGCACGCTCAGGGACCAGAAGGAGGTGAAGAGCAGGTAGATGAGAAGCAGGGTGAAGAAGAGGCCTGTGGGGAGGGGAGGCCAGGCTTCACATGGTCCCCTGTCCCCCCCAGACCAGCCTGCCTCCTTCCCGGAGGCAAAACTGCGCAAGCAGGGGAGGGCTCCTTGGGCAGGCCCACAGGAAGCACAGGAACCCAGGCCCCTTTGCCCTGAGGAGCCGCCCTCTCCCTCCAAAAGGAAGGTGGCTGGCCTGTGCCCACAGGCTCCCCCCCCCCCACGCTCCTACCGAAGAACAGGAAGGTCAGCACCCACTGCAGGACGCTGAGGGCTTCCAGCTGCTTGCGCAGGATCATCTTCTCTGGCTGACCTGTGGCAGGATACAAAATGGCCCACCAGTCCCGGAGCAGCTCCAACTCGCGGGGAGGGGGAGTATCTGAGCCAGGGTCTCAGTTGCTCCCCTGGCCGTCCAGAGTCCACCTGCTCCTTCCACCCAACTGCAGGGGAAGGGGGAGACGACCTACTCCTGGGGGAGAGAGAGGCACCCGCCCGCCCGTCCATGTGGCTCCACGTCCTCCAGCCAGCTGCAGCTGAACTTCGGCCTCCAAGCAGGCAGGAGAGCAGGTGCTGCCAGCGGATAAGGAGGGAGGCCAAGCCACTGCACAAGGCCCGCCTCCCCTACCGCCCGGGCCCTGTGGGGAGCTGGGCTGCCTGCCCCCCCCCACTTGGCTCTGCTTGGGCTGCCATTCAAGGAATAGGGATTGCAGCCTGGAGCCCTTCAAGGTGGGCTGGGCTCAGGTGGGGGGGGGTCAAAGGTCAGCTACCAGCAAAGCTCAGGGCTGGGCAGACACAGCTTCGGGCCCAGGTTCCCCACCCCCACCCCTCCTAGGCTGGAGACGAGGCTCCTTGCTTCTCCAATGTGGTCCGAGTTAAAGATTCCCCCCCCCCACGTCCTCCTCCCATTTAATTTCTAGCACCAGAGACGGCCAAGGGCTTTATGGGGCCAAGCTTGGAGCAGATGCTGCACATGCTCAAAGGCTCCCTTGCCTCCCTTGGCACCCAAGCCGGCCAGTGGAGCCCACCCAGGACCTGAGTTTTGGGGGTCCTGCAGCAGTGGAGAGGAAGCAGCAGCCCCGACCTTGCGGTGAAGAAGGCGGGCAAATCCCAAGGCCTCCTTCGGCTGGGCCCCTCTACTTGCCCTGCCCTGGGAAGAGAGAGCTAGCCAGCACAAGGGAGACTGCACACACACCCCGCCTGGCCAAACCCGGTTGCTCTTTTTGCCTCATCTCATCAGACCCCGGCTGACCCTCCCTGCAGTCCCATCTCGACCCAAGGCAGCCCCACAAACGCGACCCAGAGAGAGCCCATCACTGGGAACTTCCACATACACACGCACCCATTCTCTCTCTTGAAAGGCCCCACAATGTAACTCCCCCAGACACAGGGCTCACCTGGCTTCCTTAGACTGGCCAGCCAATCAGATCCCTAGGATTCCGGATCCCAAGGAAATCCATCAGAGGGCTCCCTAGGGAGTAGCTGGGAGTTAAAAAGAAAACCTGGATGGCTGTAATTGGAATCACCGCAGCGAGCCCACCAGCCCAGGCCTGCTGCGGCTGCCCATATCTCCAAGGACACGCGGGGCTCTGTTGTGCCCCAAAGAGGACCTCCAGCAGCTCTTGCCCAGGGGCTGGGCTGCACCCGGGGCGACACACCCCGGCTTTTGCTTTACAGGCTGGAGAGCCCTTTGCGCTTCCCTCTCTCCGAGACGCCTGGCCAGGGAGAGAGGACTTCCCCAGGGCGAAAGCAGTTGTGAAACCTGGCCAGAGGGAGGAGCGGCAGCTGAGCCCCCCACTCCCCGCCACCGGACTCCGAGGGAGCTGGCCACACTCAGCCTGGCTGTGAGATGACTTGGGGCAGCTGAATGCAGAGCTGAGCAGAACGGTGGCCAAAGCTGCTGAGAGAGACCTCTTCCGAACACCAAGCAGTGGTGGCTGCTGGATGGTGCAGCCCGGGACACCACCAGCATCTCACAAGTCAGCTGCCGCTGTCAAAGTGGGGGGGGAGGGGGGGAGAGGGTGCCACTTTGGATCGAGGCCTGCAGTAGCAGCCCGTTCTTGCTCCCCCCCCACTGCTGCACCCCTCCAAGATTGTCTAGGAGGGACAGGAGAGGAAAAGGGCATCCCCACTCTGCATTTGCCACCTTTCCCAGCAAGTTGGCACAGGCCTGCAGTTCTGCCCACCCATTCAGCCCAGCCGAGTGGCTTCCCCCATGGTTGCAAGGCATTCCCCAGTGGGCCAGCAACCTCCCCAGCATCTGGGAAGCCAGGGCCGTAAATAATAATAATAATAATAATAATAATAATAATAATAATAATAATAATAATAATAATTTTATTTCTATACCGCCCTTCTCCCGAAGGACTCAGGGCGGTGTACAGCCTATTTAAAAACACAGACAAAACAATGATATAAAATTTAAAATAATTAAATAGGTGGCTCAAATTTAAAACCCCAATAAATTTAAATACCCCAATTTAAAACTATTGTGTTGATAGTCCGGCCTGGCGGAACAACAGGGTCTTCAATGCGCAGCGAAACACCCGGTCGGAAATCTTACGAATTTCCGGGGGCAGTTCATTCCACAGGGCTGGGGCTCCCACAGAGAAGGCCCTCCCCCTGGGCGTCGCCAGCCGACATAACTTGGCTGATGGCACCCTGAGGAGACCCTCTCTGTGGGAACGAACTGGTCGGTGGGAGGCTATTGGTGGCAGAAGATGGTCTCGGAGATACCCGAGTCCTATGCCATGGAGCGCTTTAAAGGTGGTAACCAACACCTTGAATCGCACCCGGAAGACCACCGGGAGCCAGTGCAGCTCGCGCAGGAGGGGTGTCACATGGGCATAACGAGTTGTGCCCATAACCACCTGCGCGGCCGCATTCTGGACCAGTTGGAGCCTCCGAGTGCTCTTCAAGGGGAGCCCCATGTAGAGAGCATTACAATAGTCCAACCGGGAAGTAACAAGGCATGAGTGACCGTGCGCAAGGCGTCCCGATCCAGAAAGGGCTGCAACTGGCGAATCAGGCGAACCTGATAAAAGGCCCCCCTGGCCACGGCCGTCATATGCTCTTCTAAAGACAGCCGCGCATCCAGGAGGACACCCAGATTGCGAGCCCTCTCCGTGGGGGGCAAAGATTCACCCCCAATAGTCAGCGATGGCACCTGCTGACTATATCGGGGCGCCAGAAGCCACAGCCACTCGGTCTTGGAGGGGTTGAGTCTGAGCCTGTTCCTCCCCATCCAGGCCCGCACGGCCTCCAGGCAGCGGGACATCACATCAAGGGCATCGTTGGGGTGGTCTGGGGTGGAGATGTACAGCTGAGTATCATCAGCGTACAGATGGCACTTCACCCCAAAACCACGGATGATCTCACCCAGCGGCTTCACATAAATGTTGAACAGGAGGGGCAAGAGGACCGACCCTTGCGGCACTCCCCTGGTAAAGCCCCAGCCCTAAGGCCAGGCAGAAGCATGGCTTCCCCCAAGCCCCATCCACAGTGGACATCCACAGGGGGAAGCACTCCACACACACACACACACCGCCCCATTTAGTCTGGCACCCCAAACAAGCTTCAGGCTGATGTTCCCCCACACCAGGCACCCACTTGAAGCCCCACACGGCCAAACTCCTGGTCTCTTGGGCTGCCCCCTAAGAAATGGCCTCCTTGCACCTCAACAACCCCCTTGCGTCCTTGCTGGCCAAGGCAGATACCCCCTCCTCCCCCACTCTCTCCTTGCCTCCCAGAACAAGCAGGATCCTTTCTCCTTCAGAGGCCTGTGGGGAGCAAAGGATGTGTGCGTTTGTGTGTGTAGCTCCCATGCCTGCCATCAGAACCTCTCCCTGTGCCCCCAGTGCAGATTGTCCTCCCCAGAATTTTCTGCTTCACAGCTGCTTCCCTGCCCCCCAGACCTGCCAGTGCCCACAGGTGCCCGTTGCAACTCTACTTTGCCCTCCATTTCTTCCCCACAGTTCCGTGCAGGCTAAGTGCTACTGCACCACCCCGCCCAGGCCTCAGCAGGGCCTCCCATAGAGGTTGCCTGCCCTCTCTGACCAAACGGGAGACGCGCACCCCCCCCTTGACCAAGGAGCCTGAGTGGCGCAGCAGACTAATGCTACTGTTAAAGGTAGTATTTAGCTTGCAATTACTGCCTGCAATTACTGTGAGCTCAATTCTCACCAGGCTCAAGGTTGACTCAGCCTTCCATCCTTTCTAAGGTAGGTAAAATGAGGACCTGGTTTGTGGGGGAAATAAGCTGACTTTGTATAAAATATACAAAAGTATGAAGGCTATTGCTTAACGCACTGTAAGCCGCCCTGAGTCTCCGGAGAAGGGCGGCATATAAATCAAAAAAAGAAAAGAAAAGAAAAGAAAGAAAGAAAGAAGGGAACTGAGCTCTTTCTTGTGCTCAGCTCTGAGGAGGATTTGATGCTGGTCTCCTCCTCCTGTATTACGGGGAGCCTAGAAACAACTGGTGGTGGGGAAGGCACAGAGTGGTTTGAGGGGAAGCAGATGTCTTTCTGCAGGGCTGGGCTGCTGCCACCAAGCCAGGGTAGCAGGGCCTCCACATGAAGGCATGGAGACTGGCAGTAGATGGCGAGCCCCCCACGATCAGACCCACCGACCCGCCAGAGATGGAGAGCATGGCTAATCCTGGAAGCTGGTCTTGGCCTGGCTGCCGGCTGCCGGCTGCCAGAGCACCTTTTACAGACCCTGGCTGCTCCTCTTTCAAAAGCCCCCTCCCCATTTTGCATGGTCTTTTTGGGAAAGCCAAGGTGCTCAGTTCGTAAAGGCAGCCTGGCTGGAAACAGTAGGCAAGAGAGCTCCGGGACTCGTTTGCCTGCCAGGTCCAAGCAACACCCACTGTCTGCCTCTCAGGTGCTCCCCCACCCAGCGGGCACTCCTCCGCCTGCCAGATGCCCAAATCTGCCAAGAGCCCAGCAACTTCTGCACTGGCTAAGGGGGGGGGCCCTCCGGCACAGTAACCCTCTGTCACCCCAGCCCCACGATCTCTTCCCCCTGGCTCTCACATGGCTCTGGATCCCCACCGGCTGCCAAGTTGCGGTTTTTGCTCTCCAGCAGCCCCGAGTACAGGAGGTAGGAAGGCTGAAGACTTCCAGGGCCCTTGCCCCCTGCCCTGTCCCCCTGGGCTTCCTCTACCCTCCACGGCATTGAGTACTTCACTTTATTTCTTCCAAAGGAAATGTCACAGTTGGGTACCTGGCACACAGGACTGTTTGTGCAGCAGCCCAGGAGTTTGCCCTCCTCCCCACAAGAGTCCGACAGCAAAATTGCTTTTAAGGTGGGGCTTTGGCATCACCAGCCTTTGATGCCAGCTCTGCAGGGTCGAGAGTTCCACTCCCAGCCATTCTCTGGGCACCACTCTGATGCTGCCTGGCAACGAGGGAAGCTTGAACCCAACACTTCCAGAGCATCTTTGATGAAAGCTGCCCTAAAAGACGGTGCCGGCTCCTCCTGCAGCTGCGCAGTCCTTTCGCCCGGCCCAGGTGTGGCTCTGGGTGTCCCAGGCCAGCCCTTCATGCCCAGCTAGGTGAGCGTCAGGTGCTTGTCTTGGGGCAGCCCATACTTGGCCTTGTGCTCCTCAAAAAGCCAAGTCAGCTTTTCCAAGTACGTCTCATGCAGCTCATCAATGGCTTCTCGTGATGGATGGGGCATCTTGGGCACTGTAATCGGAGCTCCCACTAAAAGGTAGGGGGCAGGAAAGACATGAGAAATGGAATAAATAAAATAAACGAATGAGCCATCAGATTGCCCGCAAACAGCTCCCTTTGAGGCACCAGGGAGAAACTCCCTTTAGTAAGAAATGAGGCTGAGGGGGTGGGGGAGACCCTGGACTGCCCCTTCTTGCAGCCAAGTGAAGTCAAGCAGCCCCAATGCTCCCTCCTCCCCCACCCAGTAGCTCCCTCCTCCGTCTGAGGCTCTGGGGAGGCCTGAGCTGCAGGAGTACCAGCCTCCCTTGCATAGGGAAGACCTACTGAGCTCAGTCAGCAAGAGGGCTTCAACAGCAGGCTTCACCCCATCAGCAGAACCATTATTGCTAAGAGCCTCAGCCCAGCCAGGCAAGGTCAGGGTCAAGTCCTGAGGGATATTGGAGTGCGCTACATAAGCCTGGAGTGGGCCTCACTCCCCAGAGAACTAGCTAGCATTAGGGCACAGGGAAGAGTGTCTGCTGGAAACTGCCAGCCGCATCAGCCCTCCCCCTTCATGTGGTCAAGTGTCTGAGCTGCCTTGTCCCACAGCATTGCAACACAGCATCTCCAGCCCCCTCCCCCGCCCCGCCTGCAAGGCCCCAACTAAAGTCCAAGGCTGTTGTCCCACTGAGGGGCTGGCTCAGAGGGGGTTGCAACACAGAGACTGGCAGCTGGCTGTTGCATCACCAGAGGGAAGTCACTTTGGCTTGGATAAATGCTGGCATATCTGGGGGAAAGTGCTAGGAGACAGTTGCCCAAGATGGAGGCAGCCCTGCCCAAGTGGGGGTCCTGTCATGGACAGCCATGACCAACAAGATCCAAACGGTTCCCCAGCAACTGACCAGCCTAGCATCCCCTGGGAGCTGCAACAGACACACTCACCAACTGTGTAGATGGGTCTCCGGAAGGGCAGCAGGCCGAAGTTGTATTGGAAAACGCCTCGAGCATGGAAGAGAGGCAGGGCCAGCCCTATGACCCTCTGAAGCCGTTCCTGCAGCCTGCGGATGATGGAGCCTTGCGGGTTAGAGACTTGATTGAAGAGCTCGTTCTCCCCGAAGGAGAAGACTGGCACCAGCGCTGCTCTGCAAGGAGGAGGGCAGCGCTCTGGTCAGAGGGAGGATACACCCTGCCGGTTGAAGCCACTCCTGACCATGCCCAGGTCTCCCACTCCTCACCCCAGCCTTGCAGTGCTGTCAGAGGCCCCCTGCCCCTCACCCGTGTCGCAGGGCCATCTTGATGAAGCCTTTGCGACTGCGTAGCTGAAGGGTCAGAGCCCCCGGGCGAGCGTCCAGTGACTCCGGCGGGCCCCCCACGGCGATGACGGCCACCTGCCCGCCGCCTTTGTGGCCAAGGAGGTAGGAAGCACTGGTCTTCTCTGAAGAGACCAGTCCTAAAACGAAAAGAGCAGAGGGGCTCAGAGCAAGTCTGCCCTGGCCACCGTCGCTGCCTCGCAGTCCCTTTGTGCCTAGATGCCCAAGAGCTCACCCCCACTCATGATGTAGTCACGGAAGAAGGGGACCTTGAACCAAAAGGGCAGCATCAGGAGGTGAGGGGTGAGCCCCGGGAATAGCTGAGAGAACCCCGTGGCTTCAGTGCAGAAGTTCCCAAAGGCACCGGCCACCAGGACGCCGTGGGGGTGGAAGCCGAAGACGTAATTGTGGGAAGGGTCCAGCTCTGCCGTCTTCACCAGCTGCCAGGGAAAAAAAAGTACAGAAAAAGTCAGGTGGAGAGGAGCGCTCAAATTACTGAAGTATAGTGGATCAGGAATGGAGGCAGTGGCCCTTCAGATAACAGACCCTGCAGTTTTCTACCCTGGGGTGGCCCCTGGGGAGCTGCCAGGGCTGCCTGCATTTTTCCAAACCAAAAAAGGCTGAAAGGAAAGAGATTCCCCCAAGCAGGGAGGCTGCTAAGACTTTGACCGGGCACAATATCCAGGACTGCTTGCTTCTCCACTCTGCCCAGCTTCCCCCTCAAAGGAAGCCCTGCAGCAGCCTCCTCAGGATGCCATTCAGCTTGGCAGACGTGTGTGTGTGTGTGTGTGTGTGTGTGTGTGTGTGAGTGACTGGGGAGCATAGCCAACTGATGAAGCCTGAGATAAACTCTTGCTTTAAGGAAGTCTGGGAGCACAACTTTAAGCCCAATAGCCCTCAAAGAGATGAGGGGTGGACCCCAAATACTTTTGGGGAGCCCAGCTTCAACCAAAAAAGTTAGTTTCAAGGCTCTGTCTTCTAGGGGGGTGGGTGTCTCTCTCTAGGAGCGCTTGGAAGGCAACCGAAGTTCACAGAAGTATTAGCAAACTTAGTGAGCTCCGTCTTAAACACTCCCACCCGCCACCCACCAAAGAAATGTTCAGAATAATGCTTGCAGTTAAAGAAACAGATCCTGATCTGCCCAAACAAACAGAAGGAAATTTTATGCCAATGAAACATTTGCGGCTAGCACTTTCATGAAGTAGTTACAGATGGGGCCATCTAGATTGGTGAGAATCAATGTGAGCAAGCAGGGGATCAAAAAAAATAGTAAATAAATTGATTTAACAATCCAGCAGCACAGCTGCCTGAATTCTGACTGTTAGTTACATCTCAGGGCTACCAATTAAAAATGACACTATTTTAGAATATTTATAAGCAAAACAATATTTACAATGGCATTTACAAACCAAATTGTCACGTTTAACTGGAGACATAAGAGGAAACTTACAGCCAAAGAAAATGCAAAAGATCAGAGAACAATGGTCTTCAAGGGTGGCCTGTTTAAGCTACAATCCAAACTGCTTCATGGAATTCAGTAAATGATTCCCAAATTATGAAATTAGTGGATCATTTCATATCAGATTTTCACCATCGCAGTCTGCCTATTATACCAAGACGTTTTAAACTCCTTTCCTGGCCAAGCCCCTTTATTGGAGGCTTTTCATGGGGGCGGGGGGTGGTGGTGGTGCCCCACAGAGGTGGCAAGCACAGAGGTGTGTGGGTGTGATCCATCTTCCCCGCCAGGCACCCCAGCTGGGCCACCCCAGCTCCCCTCCTGTCACACCCCTCCTTCTCCAGGCCCAGCTAAGCTGTCCAGGGACGGAAGCCTCCCCCTACCCAATTGCAACCGAGAGTTTATCACTTTTAATAAAGGATTAGACTAAAAAGGGCCGACACTTTCTGACGGGGGAGGGGGAAAAGGGATGGCATTTGCGTAAGGGGAGGCTACGGAGCAACACCGGCTTGATAATGGAGGAGAAACCGAGGTTTAGGCAGTGCCGTTAAAAGGAGGGCGACCCCGCGGCGCTTGGCTGGTTTTCCTCAAGAAGTTCCAGCGCCGCTTCGGGCCCTGCGTTCCCCCGGCCCGCAGCACTTCATGGCCAAGGCAGTGTTGGTGGAGCCGGTGCCCCCCCCCCCCGGAGAAAGTGGGTGTCCCGCCAGGCCTGACCCCCACCCCCCCGCTAGTACAGGGAGCCTCCCGGTTCCTCTGCTCACCGTGATGGGGAAATAGTCCCGGAAGTATCGCCAGACAGCCCAGCCGCGGACCCAGGAGGAGCGGCGCCCGCCGCGAGACGGCGTCTCCCAGTCCAGGTAGAGCCAGGCGGCGTAGCCGAGGGCCAGCAGCCAGCCGTCCCCGAGCAGCAGCACCAGGTAAAACCCCAGGCAGCACTGGGCTATGAGAGAGGTAGCGGGTGACCATCTCCTCCGCCTCGCCAGCCCCCGAGCAGCGGCAGCTGCGGCATTCTGCACGTGCTCAGGAGCCCGCCGCTCCTGCTGCTCCCGCCCGCAGACAGCCCCCGCTGAACGGAAATGGCAGCGCCCTGCAGGACTGGAGCGGTCGGGCTTGGGGAAGGCAGCCCCGCGTGGAGCAAGGCAAGCCGCCGCCCCAGAGCTCGAGTGGCCGGCAAGAGCCGAGCCGAGCCGGGCGCTGCACCTCCCCGCCCGCCTCGGCTTCCCTTCGCGGCTGCCCTGGTCACGACCGCCGGCCAGCGCTGCCTCTCCTGCTACCTCGGCCGCGGCCGGGACACACCCAACTTTGCCGCCGCCGCCGCCGCCCCTTGCCAAGCTGCCGCCGACGGCACCATCCCGTCCTCACCCAGCGCCAGGAAGGAGAAGACCCACTGGAGGACGGCGGCCGTTTGGAGGCGCCGCCGGAGCGGCAGGCGCAGCGGGGCGAACCGGAGCCACATGGCCAGCGCGACGGGGTCTGACGCCTACAGGTTGCCCCCGAGCGCAGCTGCAGCTTATCACGGAGGGACGAGCTCCTCCTCCGCGAGGCCCCGCCCCGCCCCGCTCGCCCGCCCGCGAGGTGGGGTGGGGGACGCTCCCCGACGGCGGCTCCGGGCTGCCTTGTCTTAGGCGAATCGCAGCCGCTCAAACGAGGCGGCGCGGGGAAGGGGGGGGGTGCTGGAGTGGCCCCAAACCCACCGGGAAGAGCTCCAGGCGAGCCGCTGACCTTCGCACAGCCTCCAGCACGCCCTCCCCCCTCCCGCACGCATGGTAGAGAGTTGGGTCTGAGCCCAGCCGCTGCTATTTCTGGCTTCTCCCACCCCAGGCACGGCTGTCGGTGGCGTTTTCCTCTCCCCCACCCCCCGGTTTTGGGGTCTTCGCTGGCGGCTCAGGTGGAGAGGCACCGACCCCCTGGCCCTTCGCCTGCAGCTTTTCTGCTGGGCCTTCTCTTCCTCAAGGGAGCCCCCCCCCCACCGGGGAGGCCTGGATCTCACTGCTGTACCTGAGGGTGGCACTCTTCGAAGACACAAGCTGAGCTTCACACACACACACACACACACACACACACACACACACACACACATCATCACAAGGGGAGCAGATGTAGTTTCACCAGTCTGTGAACCACCACCATGTCGAATGTGTGCCCAATGTCTTTCACCCCTAATAGCTTACATCACCCCTTTCCTTACACCACTCCAAATGAGCTAGCAATCCATGCTGACTGCTGGCCAGCCCAGCCTCTGCTTGGTTCCAGAGGAAAGAGCAGAGACAATCCGAGGTTCCTCTGCAGAGGCTTGTGGCTGAGTTTGAGGAAGGCAGGGGTCCTTCTTGGCCTGCAGCCAGGAGTCAGCTTTCTCTCTACACTAAACGCTGGCCTCGTTCCCTGGCCTCGCTGGATCTCTCTGCTGACCTTGGGGGCCCCTGGCAAACCCACCCACCCCCTTTGAGAGAGTTTGCTTGTGGCGAATGGGAAGGAGACCCTCTTTACCCCCCCCCCAATAGGGAGCAGCTCCAAAGAATTGGACCAGAAGCTGCAGCCCTGTGAATGGGGTGGACTTGGGGTGGCGCTCCCTTGAAGGTGTGTGACATATGGACTGCTGTTCTGGGCTGGAGATTTTTCAAGGGGAAGGGGCTCAATGCTAGGCCCCCCTTACAGCATCTGATAGTTCGTGGGAAGCTGGCCAGTTGGGTCAACCTGTGGCTCTTGGAGCCTGAAGCTGAGTACATCCAGAGGGGGAACTGCACAAGAGGAAGTGGCAAGTAGGCGGGCCCCATGCTTGGCAGAGAGAGGGAAGTGCATTCACCCTTTCTAAACACATAGCTGCTCCCTGCAGTTTGGGGAGAACACCACTCCTCCGCCACCCATCATGGCAGCTGCTCCTGGCTGGAGAGAATCTGCCCCATGGCAAGGGGATACCTTGGCATCTTTGAAAAGCAACAGAAATCATGGTTGCTGGGCAGAATGGCTCTCTGTTCTTTCCAGGATCAATGGCCTTGGGAGGAGTTGCTGTGGAATATGAGCCTTGGGGTAGGAAGAGGACCCAGACGGGCACTTTGGGCAACTTCTGCATTTAGGGCAATGACAGGCTCTTTCTGTATGCTCACGGAATAGTCTCCAAGGCCAGAAAGATGGGCCTGACTCTTTCCTGCCAGAAGTGTTGCAACAGATGACATGAAGATGGCCTCTGCTGTGCCAGCTGGAGCTGGGCAAGGTTTAATGGGCGCTCCCAGCCTAGGAGTGGGACTGGTGAGGGCAGAAAGAGGCCACAGACATCAGAGGGGCCTTCCTGGCTGCTCCTTCTTCACCGGTGCTGCTGCTCTCCCGAGACTCTCCCTTGTTCCTCTCTGGGGAGACTTGAAGCAACAGCAGCAGTACCACGGTAGATGGCGGAAGAAGTCTTTCAGCAAAATCAGCAGAAATTGCTTGCAAAAATGTGTTATTAACTTTATTAAGGATGAACAGAATGTATATATTGATCACACTTCTATACTACAGAATACTACAGAATAGTACAAAATACAAACTGTAGAAGGCTGCAGTTTAGAAAAATTATAAAGAGAAATCTAATTTTAAACTAGGCCAGCTTTTAAGATCATACTCTGAAAACTTCATATCCAAGTGTCGATTTTTTAAAAATACTAAACATTTGCATTCTTTTTTGTGGCAGGAACACTTCTGTGTAACTCAGACTAAACTTGTAAAAAGCTAGATCTTCAGGGAGGCAAGTGCCCCCAAAGTGGGCATTAGGAGGGGGGGTGGGGGGTGGGTGACTAGAGGACAATTGTTTGGTGGCTGCCATGTGTCCTTCTGAATGTGCTTCCTAATAGCAGCCCCCTGCCCTTTCTCTCCTGCCCAACGTTCTGCAAATACTGTAGCCTGAACCATCCATCTGGAAAGAACAGGCAGGGCACCTTTGGAAAAGGGGCAGGGGACCCCAACCTTCTCCTCTAGTCTGCATTGCCTGCCTGTCTGCCTACTGCGGGGAGGGAGAGGGGAAGGGGAAATACATCTTTGGGCAGAATGGGAGTTGCACATGGACTGCACTGTCTTCAGGGACATCCTTGCCTGTTCCCACGCTCACAGAGCCAAGAGGTCAGAGCTGATGCAAAAGGGTGGAAGCCAAAGAGTAGGGTTGGGAGTCACTGGCTGTGGCAACACCTGTGCACCATGCTACCAAAATGCAGGTGGGCTGATGGGTCAGCAGTATCAGAAAATGGCCCTAAAGCCAGCATGGAGATGGTCTTGGGAAGACAAGGACACAATTCTCCTTCTTCACAGGTAGGTGCTTGGGGCTGGATGAAGGTCACGCCCGAACTTTAATTGCTGAGAGAAGGGTTGGAGGGCAGAGTGCCAGGAGGTGAGAAGGAAAGACATGGCCAGAGGTTGCTCCCCTCCCTGGAAAACCAAGTCTGTAGGCAGTCCTGAAGTGTGAGGCCAGCTGGCTTCTTCTGCACTGCCTCTGTTTATGGAGGCTCTGCCTTTCTAGAGGATGGCTGTTACTGTCAGAGTTTAGGCAGTGTAACTAGTATTATGAGATAAACCCAGGAGGAAAACCCTGCACACAGCACACAGAGCCTTTTAGATAAACAACTGGTTTTATCTACAGTTGGAATGTTTACAAACATATACGTGGTTAAATACCTTTGCAGCAGCATTCTGTCCATCAGCCAGACTAATGCACATTTTCCTTGCTGGTTTCAAACCAGAAAACATGTGGATCATTAACAATATGTTGGCTTGCTCCACTATCCAAGAGCCACATATTCCTGTTGTGTTCAGTTGTTGATGCTACAAGGGAAAACAACGCTGGAGAACTGCTCCACGTTTGCTGATTAATTCTCGCTGCCTCTCTGTTCCTCCTCTCAGGACAGCAACTATGGAGATGTTCAGTAGAACCATGTGTAGCATCTCTTTGCAAAGTTAACTCTTTCAGCTGCTCTGCCGGCATCCTGGACTGTTGCAAATGCTGGTTTGTGCTCTCTCCTCCCTTTCCTCTCCAGCCATTTCTGCTCCTCCTCCAACAAATGACCAGTCAAGTACACCATTGTTGCATGGACTCAAGAGTGTTCACAAGAATGTCCCATGAATTATCCAAGGAACTAAGGACCACATACACCTTGTGTGCTTCCATATATTTCATTCCCCTTTCTTCCAACTTGAGGAATGTCCATCTCATGCTCTGCAAATGTGTGGACACACACTCTCCTGGCTTCAGCTGTTTCTTATACAGCCACCTAGTCAGCAAAACTTTACTGCTCACAGTCTCTCTCACATACATGCTTTGCAACGCCTCCCGGCACTCTTTCGCATACTGGAGCCCCCTCACGTGTATTAGCTGACTGTCCTCTAGGGCAAGAATTATTCTGGCTAATGCCTTTTCGTTTCTTCTCTGGTCCCCATCATCCAGGACTGCTGGTGGATTAGTAACAATCGTCCACAACTCCTTCCTCGGTAGGTACATTTCCATGTTCACATTCCAAGAGAGGTAATTTGTCTCATTCAGCCGACTGAGTAAATGTCCTCCCATTACACTGATGGAGGCCATGCTGCCTGCTAACCACGATTTAAACCATTTACTCTGGTGCAAGCTCACACTGGGATTCTCTTCTCTCTAGTTACTCTCTAGTTACTATTCACTCTGCCCCTCTCTCTGGACTGGACCCATAACCTGTCAGAGTTTAGGCAGCGTAACTAGTATTATGAGATAAACCCAGGAGCATAAAACAGCACACAGCGCCTTTTAGATAAACAGTGGTTTTACCTACAGTGAAATATTTACAAACATATATGTGGTTAAATACCTTTACAGCAGCATTCTGTCCATCAGCCAGACTAACCCACGTTTTCCTTGCTGGGTTCAAACCAGAAAACATGTATACATTAAATACTGTAACATTAGAGAAGCTGCTGTAAAAGGGGAAGGTAATGTGTATGTACCAGAAATAGACGCTACATTGTACAATGTGTTATATGTACCTGCTTTTGAGCATAATTTATTAAATATATCTATGTTAGACAGGCAGGAGTATGAAATAATATTTGCTGGGGGATTATATACAATTAAGAGAATGATAGACAGGTAAATAAACCAAAGTGAGGAAACTTTGATAAGCAGGCAGATAAACCAAAGTGAGCAAAGGGAAAGAGAAAGCAAAGGTATCCAGCCAAGGGATGGTAAACAGAATGTAATGGAGATTAATGAGAGAGTGTACAGTCAGTAGATAATAACCGTAGGAGTAGGTCCAGCTATAGTAGTAATGATGTGTGTAGCAATGAGAGCAGGAACCGAAGCAGGAGGCACATCCATAATGAAAACAGAGAGCAGCGTGCATATGTTAAAGCATACAGCGCTAGATATGAACCCCAAAGATACCATGAAATGGTGTTATAGAAAAATATTACTGAATGTAAATGTAAATGAAAACAATGCTGCATGTATAATAATGGTGACAGGAAGATCGCATTAGGAATGGAAGGAAACATGTAGACGTTGTAAACCATGTAAAAATAATGTAATGGTAGAAAAACTGTTTTGTTAAAGAGTTTGGAATATCAGCTGTACAGCTTTAACTGGGAAGAGTGTCATGGTATGAAGAGTTAATCGCTGTAAACTGATAAGTTGTAAGCTGAGGCAATGGGGAAGCTGATGCAATGGAATGAGGCAGCAGGGTCACTGCCACTTTAAGAAGCTGGGTCAGAAGCTGCCTATATAAGGGAAGTCATTAGAGGGCGTTTCCTTCTCATGCATTATACTTTTTGTTTTTGTAGGGTGTATCATTGCTCTCCCTTGTATCAGTAGCTGTATAAGGTATTTAACCACGTATGTTTGTAAATATTTCACTGCAGATAAAACCACTGTTATTTATCTAAAAGGCTCTATGCTGTATTTTGCTCCTGGGTTTATCTCGTAATACTAGTTACGCTAAACTCTGACAGTTACCCACTGCTAAGGCACCACCTCTTCCTCCTCCCCCATGGATGTGCCCAGCTCTTTCCAGACTCGGCAGCCGCTCTCATGTTTCCCTCAGAAGTATTTCTCAATAATAAAATTTTGTGTGTATGTGAGGATAGTTTGGAAAAATCCAGTCAAAAGTAGTATGTATATGACCCCTGATCCCCAAATGTTAGCTTCTGTGGGGTCAGGCTCAGGCTCAGGCTCACCTTTTCAGAGTTAGGGCAGGCCAGCTTCATGACCCTTGGCATCTGCATAAGGGGGAGGGGGAACTGGCACAGCAATTGCCAGTTGGAGCTGGGGTCTCATTGCTGAAAGGGAAGAAGAAAGCAGCCAGGAATTGCCTGTGCTCGGTGTAGCGCTCAAGGCAGGTGCAGCAATGAACTGTCATGAAAATATTGTTAACCAGACAACACAGCAGATTAGAGGGTGTGTGTTTGGGGGAGGGAATCTCGGTTCCACTCAATCCCAGGTGATTTGAGGTTTTGGAGCGCTGGTGTAAATTAACTTAATTCCTGGCTGAGCCAGATGAGCACCGAGATTTAACAAAAGCTGGTTTTGCCTTGACAGGAGCCAATGCCAAAGGGCACCCCAAAAAGCAGAGGCCACGGAGGATGCTGGAGCTCAACAGAAGGTGAAAGAACATGGAGATGAGCTACCCCACCTATGTCCCAGGGAGCACCAACCCCAATTAACCTCCAGTAGGTTAATTTTCCTTCCTAGCCAGACGTTTTTTTGACTCCTGTCCTCGGTTCCCGCTGCGGTTCAGCCTCTGCTCCCCCACCCCGGGGCTCTGGGCTGATGCACCCGGAGCGATTCTCCGACAGCTACGCGGCCAACCTCTCAGTCCGACGTGATGAAGCGGGGGAGGGGGGGGGGCAGCCAGTAGGGTCTTTCCGGAAGGGAGGGGTGCCTCGAAGTCGTCTGGGGTAGTGTTTCAAGAGGCTCCGCCTGCAGAGCCCCCAAACCCGGGAGGAATCGGGCCTTCCTTCTTCCCTGTCTGGGATTTACCGTGGGACTCTTCCAGGGGTCCCACTCCAGCGGCCCTAGTCCGGCGGGTGGGCCGGCTTCCTCGCCTCCCCCTCGCCCTGTGAGTTGATGCGGCCTCACAATGCCTCCCCCCCCCACCCCGTCGCGCTCCAGCCTCACTAGATAGCGGGCATGGGCAATCATGTCCTGGCAGCCGAGCCTGTGCCAGGAGGTGGGCGACGTGGTGGCTCGGCTCTTGGGCGGCGCGGTGCTGCTCTGCGTGGTCAGCAACGCCATCTTTCTGGTGAGGAAGGGGCCCCTCCCGCTCGCCTTCCTGCCTTCGCCCGCAAGAGAGAGGGGCCCCAGGAGCCTCCTCCCAACGGGGAAGGCCGCCCCCGTCTCCGCGCGCGGGCGGGCGGGCGGACAGACCCCGACTCGCCGCTCGCTCTCTTTCCAGTTCTACCTGCCCTCCAGGCGCAGTCGGGGTTCGGACGGCCGGTGCCAGGCGCAAAGGAGCGAGAGTCGCCAGTGCGCCGATAGCCGAGGTTTGGGAGCCGGGCCTTTGTAAAGGGTGACCATGCGGCTCGGGGGACGGCGGGGAGAAAAGCGGGAGGCGGGAGCTGCAGCCTTGCCGGCGGAGAGAAAACCGCCGACAGACAGAGCCGGCAGGAGGGGCGCACTGAGCCCGCCGGCACCCTGGCCTCTCTCCCTCTCCAGAAGGCGGTCAGGCCGGCCAGCGGGCCTCGCCTGCGGAGCAGCGGAGCGAGGCCCCCTCGACGGACCGCAGGCGATCGACGGCGGGTCAGAGAAGCGACAGCGGCCCCAACGGCTGGTTAGGCCCCGCGGCCGCCCGGCTGGAGCAGAGAAGGAAGCCGATGGTTCTCTTCGTCCCCGAACAGCAGCTTCCCGGTCGCGCTTCCCAGGCAGGGGGCAGCCTCTGGCCTCCCGCCCCCGATAAGCCGGCCCAAGCGATCGCTCCCGCCCGCCGGTTGCACGAGGCGGGCCTTGGGAAAAGCGGGTCGTTTCCGAGGCAGCGAGAGCTTACCGCTGGGCCCCCCCGCGGGCAGTAAAGGCGCTACCGGCAAAGGCCGCAGTGGCTACGCGTCCTTCTGTCAGCAGCGCGCGGAGGGGGGGGCGCAGGGACGAGAGACTTAACTCCCTGTCTGCCCACCAGCGCAATTTCCACCACGCCCCCCCCCCTCCCCCCGAGCCAAGGCTGGGGGATTAGTTAGCGGGGAGCTTGGGTTCCTAGCCCCCAGGCAAAGACTCTGCCCCCCTCCCAACAAGTGAAAAGGTTGGCCCTTGGTCTTTAACAGCAGCAACATGATCCTGACTAGGAGGGGGGAGACAGCTTGGCCTGGCCCCCCCCCTGCAAGCCTGAAGCTAGCCTTGTACTGAAACTTGCCTTGAGCTCCTGGATTGTATCTGGGGCAAAGAGCACCTCAGTGCTGGGCGCCTGGAACCCTCTCTCGCCACTCGGGTCATGCAACCTGCTAGTCCCCGAGCAAGCCCCCTCCCCCAATGCTGTTGAACAGACATGTTTATTAGGCACTGGAAAGTATTTACAGCAAACGTGTTTTGTCGAAGGCAGCGGAAGGACCACCCTTGCTACTCCTGCAACAAGGAAACCCGTCGCCCCCTTTCTCTCCAATTTCACACAGGTGGGCAGGATGAAGGGTCAGTCCTGGGTGCAGGGCAACCTTGGCCCACAGAGGTGTTCTCCTACAGCATCGAGAGGCTGGGTCGCAGGAATAGAGCCCTGGACTATTCCCTGCCCACCCATAGATGGCAGGTGGTAAATTCTAGAGGAGGGGCTGTGGAGACTCAGGCACCAAGCCGTGGCCCCCATTGGTGGCTTTGGTGAGGAAAGCAGTGGCACTGGTGGTAGTGCTGGCACTACCTGGCAGCTGGGGGCTGTTGCTGCGTTCCTGCTTGAGGGGTCCGCTGGCGAGTCCCAGGCTCGGCGGAGCAGAGGACGAGGGGGAGAGCTGGGAGGCCCCCCCTTTGCCCTCTGTGGTGGGTGGTAGAGAAACCACAATGTACTTCTGGACGCTGCCTGAGATGGGGGGACTGGGGGCTGCCTGCCCACCAGAAACCAACTTCACAAGGGGTTGTGTGCTGGGCACGGTGCTGGTGACGGGCGAAGTGGAGGTGCTGGCTGGGCCACCGCTGAGAGTGAACACCTGTGAGAGCATGAAGGTCATAAAAAAGCATGTCTGTCTGTCTGCCTGCCCCCCCCACTGCCCCCGCCCTCCCCAACATACCTGCTGGGAAGTGGAGGTGCCAGAGGCGGAAGACATGACAATGAACTTGGTGGGAGGAGGCGAGGGCTGTGTTGGGGTGGCCGGCCGGGTTGAGACGAGAGTCTGCACAGGGAGGGTGATGGAGCCGGGCACCTTGATGATGCTGGGTGCCCGGGTGGCACTGCTGCCTCCCTGGGCTGCCTGGGAGAGGGTCAGTGTCGGGCGGGGCTGTGCAGGAGAGAGGAGAGGAGCCGATGATTAGCTCTGCCTCTTGCCAGGCTCACTTAGGAAAACCAGGGCAGACGAGCAACGGGCAATCTACCTGGGTGATGGTCAGAGTGGTGCGGTTCACCTGCTGAGCCTGCACAGCTGCCTGGGCCCGTGCCTTCACCACATTGGTGCACAGCAGGGGGCCCAAGGCGCCATACTCGGCTCGGTAGGCCTCCTGGTTATCCGGAGGGGGACGCAGCTTGGCTAAGACGGGAGCACAGTGCTTCTGTGGGGTGGGAGCGAGAAAGGAAAAGATATGCAGCAAAACTCCCAAGGAAAGACCACCACCCACCCAGGCGCACATAAGTGCATCCTCTTCTCCAGAGGGCAAGCAGCCCCCCCCCCCCCCCCGATGAGACAACTCGGCCTCTTCCTATGGACTGCTTGTGGGAGGGTCGCCTTCCCTTACCAGAAGGAGACTCTGAACATGGTCAGCCCCAATCTTGTCAATATTGCTGACCACAGGACCTTCCAGGATGCTGCGGACACGCTCCCCCTCCACCTGCAGCCGCGGCAGGATGAGTGTCTTGATCACCTGGAGACAAGATCAGAAGCAGAGTCTGGGCCTCTGGCCAAGCTGGCCCAAGGGGACCCGCTCCTGGCTCCACCCAGGCGTCCACTCACATCAGGTCCCAGCTCCGCCAGGCCAGCGATAGATCCATACCGCGTGGTCCAGGGCGTCTTCTCGTCCACCCAGCTCTGGTGAGCAAAGGAAGGGGAAGAGGCGTGAGGAGCAGAAGGAAAGCCAGGGCTGCCAAGTGCCCTGAACCTCCCCATGCCCTCACCTTGGTGAAGGTTTTGGTGATGCGTGACTGGATGTTGTTAGTGGTGGTGCTGAAATTCTTGCAGATTTGGGCGATGAGCCGAGCGGCAAAGTCTCGCAAGGCCCAGTGGTTGTCAACATCTGGCCTGAGGCAGAGCTGGCGGCTGACGATGCAGGTCATGACTGCTGGGATGATCTCATGCAGCTGCAGCAACAAATAGGAATGCAGAGGCCCATCAATGCCAGTTTCCCTCTCCTCCCCCCCTGGCCCAGTGCTAGGGAAGTCTCTGCTGCTCACATATTTCTCCAAATATAGGGTTGGGTTGTCCATCAGTGCCTTGACCATTCGCATGAGGTAGATCAGAAGAGCCAGATTGTTCTGCACCACATTCACCCGCACCTGGAGGGGCAGGAAGGTGGTCACAAGGTCAGTTTCCTGGCAGATGCTGCTCCATGTCCACTTTCCCCAAGCAAAGGTCTTTCATCTGGTGAAAGCCTGGCCGAGGAGCTGGCCAGGCTCAGTCTAGGGCAGTTCCAAGGTGCCATCCGGCACTGGTGGATAATCCTCCTTATGTGGTCTAAGCTGCCTGGATGCTCGATGCTGGATCGGACAGGAGATTGTGATGAATTCTGAATATGAACAGGCCTACATGTGGAAAACTCTTAAAAATATCACCAGTTACAGCAAACCTTCCCAGGCTGAAGAAAATCAACAACTGCCAGATGACCTGAACGTGTTTTACTGCAGGTTTGAAAGGAAACTACAGCCACCTATCTCCACAATCCCCATCCCAGACAGACCAACAACAGCCAAGCCTCCTGCAACTGATCCCATCCCATTGGGTTCACAACCCCTGGTGATCACAGAAAAAGAAGTGCAAGATCTATTTCACAGACAAAAGCCAGGAAAAGAACCAGGCCCAGACAAGATAACTCCTTCTTGCTTAAAAGTCTGTGCTGACCAATTGGCCCCCATTTTCACCCATATCTTCAATAAATCACTAGAGATGTGCCATGTTCCTTCTTGCTTCAAACGCTCCACTGTCATTCCAGTGCCGAAGAAGCCCACCATCAAGGAACTGAATGACTACAGACCAGTTGCTCTAACATCTGTAGTTATGAAAACCTTTGAAAGGTTAGTTATGTCCCATCTGAAAACCATCACGGATTCGCTGTTAGACCCCCTGCAATTTGCATACCGAGCAAATAGATCGACAGATGATGCTCTTAATATGGCTCTGCACTACATCCTACAACATCTTGAACCTCCAAAGACTTATGCAAGGGTTTAATTTATTTATTTATTTATTGGTTTGATTTATATGCCGCCCTTCTCTGGAGACTCAGGGCGGCTTACAATGCATTAAGCAATAGCCTTCATACTTTTGTATATACCTGCTTAGTAGGGCTTTCGCCCCCCCCCACCTCCAAAGTGGTGTCCTTTTTTATACAAAGTCAGCTTATTGCATGCACAATCCAGGTCCTCATTTTACCTACCTCGAAAGGATGGAAGGCTGAGTCAACCTTGAGCCTGGTGAGATTTGAACTTGCAGTAATTGCAGGCAGCTGGTGCTACTTAACAGCACTTTAGTCTGCTGTGCCACCAAGGCTCTTTGTAGACTTTAATTCAGCATTCAATACCATCATACCGGACATTCTTCTAATTAAACTAAATCAGCTAGTGGTACCTTAACACACTTGTAAGTGGATCACAAGCTTCCTAACAGAGAGGAAGCAGCAGGTGAAGCTAAGCAAAATCACACCAGATACCTGTAAAATTAGCACAGCCCCCCCCATGTGTGCTTTCTCCACTTCTCTTCTCTCTCTATACCAATGACTGCATCTCAAACGATCCATCTGTTAAACTACTGAAGTTTGCAGATAATACAACATTGATTGGTCTCATTTGAGACAACGATGAATCCGCATACAGACGGGAGGTTGAACAACTAACCTTATGGTGCAACCGGAACAATCTGGAACTGAACACACTCAAAACCATAGAAATGGTGGTAGACTTTAGGAGAAACCCTCCCATACTACCACCTCTTACAATACTAGACAACACAGTATCAACAGTAGAGACCTTCAAATTTCTAGGTTCTATTATATCTCAAGACCTAAAATGGACACCTAACATCAAAAACGTCATCAAAAAAGCACAACAAAGAATGTTCTTTCTGTGTCAACCTGGGAAGCTCAAACTGCCCAAGGAGCTGCTGATACAGTCCCACAGAGGAATTATTGAGTCTGTCATCTGCACCTCTATAACTCTCTGGTTTGGTTCTGCAACCCAACAAGACAGACAGAGACTTCAGAGGATAATTAGAACTGCAGAAAAAACAATTACTACCAACCTGCCTTCCGTTGAGGACCTGTATACTGCACGAGTCAAAAGGAGGGCTGTGAAAATATTTACAGACCTCTCGCATCCTGAACATAGTGTTTCAACTCCTACCCTCAAAACAACTCTATAGAGCACTGTGCACCAAGACAAATAGATACAAGAACAGTTTTTTCTCAAACGCCATCACTCTGCTAAACAATTCCCTCAACACTGTCAAACTGTTCACATTAGGCTGCATTACTATTGGTCTTCTCATAGTTCCTGTCGCCCATCTCCTCCCACTTGTGACTGTATGGCTGTAACTTTGTGGCTTGTATCCTTGCAATTTATATTGATATTGTTTCCTAGTATGATTTGCTTATTGTATGACTGTCACTGGGTGATGTGCCTTGTGATTCTTGATGAGTGTATCTTGTCTTTTTATGTACTCTGAGAGCATATGCACCAAAGACAAAATCTTGTGTGTCCAATCACACTTGGCCAATAAAGAATTCCCTTCCCTTCAAATATAAATTGACCCATCTTTGCTACGGTGGCTTCCCAACTAGGAGGCTCTCCACATCTGAGCCAAGGAATGTATAACCAAGCTACATCTCAGAGCCAGAATGCTGGCCCAGAGGGTGCACAGAGGGTGCACTCTTCCCAATTGCAGAGACCTCCTCGCTCTCCCAACGCTTGGGGCAACGCTGTGAAGAAGAAAAACAGCTTTTTCTGCCTTGGCCAAGAATCAGCTCAGATCAGGGATTCTGCTCCAGGGTTGCTGGCTTCCGAGCATCTTCAAGCAGCCAGTTGGCAACCTTGGGATCCCCAGGTATTCAGGATCCTCCAAGAATCCACAGGAGGAAGGGGTGGTTTATTACTAAGAGCTTAACATCAGACAGAACTGCTTCCTCCTCCCGAAGTCACTCATAAGTAAGCTGGCTCTGTACAACTCTTCTTGCCTCCAAGAAATTGGGACAGCCGCCACCCCTTAAAGCAGCTGAAGGCACAGAAGACCACAGACAGCAAGGACACAGGACTGCCTCATCCCTCAACCACCACCTGTGGCTTGGCGCCACAGCAAAGATCTGGCAAAGGGAGCAGGAGCCCCCACCCTTTCTGCTTACCCCTTCAGAAATGAATGTGCTGAATCGGGGTAACATCTGGTACAGGCCGGGGTCTGTGGCAATGCTTTGAAGGGCTTCCTAGGGAGAGAAAAGGGAGGAGGAGGGAAGGGAGATAAGAGCCGAAGGAGGGTATTGTGGAAAAGGACATATGTGGACACCCCCCCCCCCCCAAGAGACCATTGGCAAGAAGCCTGGCCAGTTCCAGGGGAGATGATCAAATGCCATTTTTCGGGCAGACGAGGGAGATTCCACCCATGCCTATTAAAGGCCAAGGGATAGGAAGCTGGACTTGGCAGAGGGTGGTATCTGGAACCTGGCCTGGAGATGCTCCGCAGGCTGCCTCGCCTTGCAGAGGTAAACAAACAGTTGTTTTCTCCAGCATGTGAGCTACCCGAGGGTGAGGGGAGGGAGCAGCATTGCCTGCAGATGGAGTGGTCCTGGCTGCTCACCGCTCGCTTTGCTTCACAAGATCCCACACAGGCTTCGGTGATCTCCTTGTAGTACAGCTGTTGTTCCACAGAGAGCTCGTGGATGCTGCGTGGCTTCAACTTCAGGGGGGCTCCTTCCAGAAGGGGCCCCTTCTTCTCTTTGCCTGTGCAGATGGAGAGAAGGCAAAGATGGGCCCTAAATGTGCATTATCCTCGTCTCCCCTTCCTATTAGGAGGGACCGGCCAGGGGCCACTGAGAAGACGCACAGCCTTAGCCCATGAAGCATAGCCACAGGAAGCCAATGGTGCATGGCACATTATCAAGCAAAAAGCACAGTGCCTAATTGCCACCATGATAGACAAAGGTTCCTCCGGGGAGGGGAGTGGAGGTGGAAGAAGGCTGCTGCTGACCTGTGGGAGATGCCCATCTCTATGAAAGGCTTCCTGATCAGCACTTGCCTGCCACTCCTCCACGAAGCCCCCCACCTGACACAGAAGTTTGGATGCCTGGCAAAGCCAGATTCTTTGTCAATAGTTTGCAGGCCCTGGCTGGAATGGTCAAAGGTGACCACTGGTATTTTCCTGAAGATCCAGGGAGGAAAAAAAGTACCTCACTCTGGGATGGCCAGTTCTCCGTGGGTGCCAAGCAAGGGGGCTTAATCTTTGCCCCTTACTCCCCATCCTGCCTCAGCCATGCTCAGGCTGACCTTTACTATCGGCTGGGGTGGCGCTCTGTCCTTTGCCCTTGAGAGCACCCTCCTCCTCCTGGCCCGGCTTGGCTGCCTTCAAAGGCTCGGTGGCCTCAGCTTTCTGCTGCTCCTTGGGTGCTGCAAAGAGAAGAGATGGACTGGGTGTCAAGGTCAAGCAGCAATGGTTGCCAAGCCAGTTCTTTTGCTTGAGGCAGGAAGGTGCCTGCCCTGCTTTGGAAACCAGGGTTTGTCACTCACCCGGGGGTGGATTTTCTGGGATCGCCGGTTGAACTCCCTCAATGCTCAGCCAGTGTGCTATTAGAAAAAAGGGAGAAGCTTCAAAGAGAGGGAGATCTCTGTAACGCTGCCAAGAAGAGACCAAGCCAGGATTTTGCAAGCCCCTATCCTGGCTTGGTCTCTTCTTGGCAGCGTTACAGATTCAAATTGGAAGACAGGTCAGGGAGGACAAAAGTTAACAGCTTATAAACAAACGTAAAGCAGCACAAACTCCAGGATGCTTCAGTGCCTTCCAGTTTGGATGCTTCTGCATTGGCAGCTGCTCTGCTCAACAGCGTAATACAGCTGGATGCTGCATGTGCAACAGGTCCTCTGGCTGACACCTGCCCTCTTGCTGTGGCCAAAAGAAAGGTGGGGAGGAGGAACCTCCAAGAGAGCAGAGGAGCCCTGCTGCACGCCATGCTCTGACTACAGTACACCCATTGGGGCACCCTCCCCCAACGCATCCATACAGGTTGCAAGAGTGGGTGTCTGCCAGCCCATTTCCTCAAACAGGGACTTTCCCAAGAAGGCAAACAGGCTGTGGCCTGTTTCCAGCTGGTTCCCTACAAGGCCGCTATGGACTCCCCCTGGGGAAAGAGAATACACAGCATACAAGTAGGCTGGCTCCCGAGGAGGGACGCTGCGCCCCATCCCCTGGCATGGGGCACCCCTCCCAAGAGACAGGCATCTCTATGCCCCCCTTTGAGCTTCACGTTGATGTTAGAAGCAAAGCAAAGCCCCTAATCCAAGACTGGAAATCGGGACTTTCAGATCTGGGGGAGCAGGGCTGGGGGGAAACGTCTGCAGCAACCAAACCCTTGTGGCATCAGGCGATGCATCAATTTGCACATGCCCCAAAGGCATTTGGTGGCTGGAGTGGGTGTTGGGGTGGTGCCGTGGGAGCCCCGAGCGCCCCCTCACCCTTGAGGCAAACGTCGAGGGGGACGCGGGGGAGGGGCGTGTTGATGATGTCGCTCAGGTCCATCTCCTTCTCTTCGTAGAAGTAGAGCTCGCGGCCTCCCCCGCTGGCGTAGCGGAACGGGATGAACTCCTGCGTGTGGAACCCGTAGAGCGGCTGGAGGAGGAGGAGGAGGAGGAGGAGGAGGAGGAGGAAGAGCAGAGCCGGGTGAGCGAGGCGGCCCCGCGGTCGCCCCCCCCCCCCCGCGCCCCCTCCCCCCCCCCCCCCCAGGGCACCTCCACGTTCTTCAGCTTCAGGGCCAGGTCGACGTCGCCCATGGTCAGCAGCTGCCGCTTGCCCATCCGCATGAACTTCAGCGCGTCCTGCGGAGAAGGAGCCGGTGGGCGCCGCACGGCGGGGGGTGGGAGCCCCGCGGAGGTGGACCCCCCGCCCCCCCCCTCTGCCTACCTGCGCGATCTCCTTGATGCGGTAGCTGACCTCGTCCGCCAGCAGCTGGCAGGTCTCCTCGGGCACCTGCCCGATGCCCACCGACTCGGCCACCACCTTCATCGACTCGGTGGGCAGCTGAGCGCTGCCCACCTTCGGCTTCTTCTCCTCCGCCATGGCCCGCGCCGCCACCCGCGAGCGAGGCCGGGCATTGGTCAGCCGAGCGCGGCGCCCGGGTGACGTCATTAGGCGCCGCCGCCGCCGCGCTCGGGCGGGGCATGCGCGGTGTGTCTTGGGCGGTCCGGCCTCCCCCGCGAAGTCCGGCGGCGGCGGCGGCGGCGGCGGCTCCATGGCGAGGCGGCGGCCGGCCCCGCTGGCCCTGCCCGGCTGCCCGTACTCGGTGTCGGTGGTGCAGGAAGGCTACTGCCGGGCGCAGGCGGACGGCTCCACCCTGGCGGACGGGACGGTGACGCTGGTGCTGGGCCCCCGCCTGACCCTGGTGGACACGGGCGGGCCCTGGGCCCGTGAGCGGCTGCTGGCCGGCCTGGCGGAGCGGGGCGTGTCCCCGGGCGACGTGGCCCACGTGGTGTGCACCCACGGCCACTCGGACCACGCTGGCAACCTCAACCTCTTCCCGCGGGCCGAGCTGATCGTGGGCACGGACGTCTGCCAGCCGGGGGGCCGCTACCTGCCGACAGGGCTACGCCAGGGCGCCCCCTACGCGATCCACGCGGGGCACCTGGAGGTGCTGCCCACTCCCGGCCACACGGGCAGCGACGTCAGCCTCTTGGTGCTGGGCACTTCCCTGGGCAGCGTGGTGGTGGCCGGAGACCTTTTCGAGCACCAGGACGACGACGGGGAGTGGGCGGCCCTGAGCGAAGACCCCGCCCGACAGGCCGAGAGTAGGGCCCGCGTCCTGGGCATCGCTGACGTCATTGTGCCCGGCCACGGGCCCCCGTTCCAGGTGTTGAGGGAGGGAGCCGGTGGTGCGAGCTGACGGCGGCGCTCCATAAAGGGTTGAATCGAGGCGAGTGGTGGATCTTTCCTGGCTAAGTGGCTGGTCCCCTGGTGGAGCCCTCCCGCCTGGCGCATTCATTGACCCCAAAAGCAGCTGGGTTTGGAGACTTCCATCAGGACAGTCACTGACGGGCACTGTACCTTTCCTGGGGCTTTTTCAGGCAGGTTCCATAGCAGGAACCAGCAACCAATAAAGCTTGGCTTGGGGCCCAGTTGAGGGGAATGAAGTTGTCTGCTGGCTCCTTGAAATGATGGTCGGGTCCAAAATGGCAAGGTATGACCAGCTAAATAAAGAGTTGCAGCTTTTGGCCAGACTTGGGTTTGGATATTTATTTATTTATTTATTTATTATATTTCTATACCGCCTTTCTCCCGTAGGACTCAAGGCGGTGTACAGTCAAGAAAAAATATAGACACACAAACATCATAAAATTGCTAATTAAAATTATTACTTAGTTTGGTCAATTAAATAAAACCCAGAATTAGATAACATTTAAAAAATCATTCACATGTTCATACGTTTAGCCCCGCCTGTTGGAACATCAGGGTCTTGAGGGCACGGCGGAAAGCACGGAGATCAGGGATATTCCGTATCTCCGGGGGCAGTTCATTCCAAAGGGCTGGAGCCCCCACAGAGAAGGCCCTCCCCCTGGGAGTCGCCAGTCGACATAATTTGACAGACGGTACCCTGAGTAGTCCCTCCCTGTGAGAACGAACTGGTCACATCTTCTGTTGGGGGATTGCTTCCAGGCAAATCTGGGATCCCTTTGGATAAGGTTGCATGCAGCTTCTCCAAGCGCAAAAGGATTTAAGGATAGAAGTGGCATGCAGGGAACAATCGGAAGAATAAGTTTAGCCTTAGCTCATCCGTGGAGACCCTCTAGACCTGCTCTTGGAGGACAATGTCCTATTTGGTGATCTGGATGGGGCAGAGAATGCTGCCACCGCCTCCTCCCACTAGTATATAAAATGGGAGCAAACCCCACTCCCTACTGGCAATGGTAATGAAACAACTGCAAGAAAACAGCCAAGTTCAGAGAACCCTAAGGAGCCTGCAGTGACAGTCTCTGCTGTGCCTCCAAGCTCACTGGACTCCTACTGTGGCAGAGACAGTAAGAAGAGAGCAGCGTCTCCATTGAGAACCCCCCTCCCCCAACTGATCTTCCCAGGGCAGCTGTGTTTCTCAGGGAGGTGTGCCTGGAGGCGGAGGAAGAATAGAGCTGGAAGGGACCTTGGCAGTCTTATACTCCTGCTCTTGCTCAAGCAGGAGATCTTGTACCATTTCAGACAAGTGACTGTCCAGTCTCTTCTGAAAAACCTCCAGTGATGAAGCACCCACAACTTCTGAAGGCGAGCTGTTCCTATGATTAATTGTCCTGTTGGAAATTTCTCCTTAATTCTGAGTTGCTTTTTTCCATGAGTAGTTTCCATCCATTGTTTCTTGTCCTGCTCTCTGGTACTTTGGAAAATAAATTGATCTCTTCTTTATAGCAGCTTCTCGAGTACTGCTATCATGTCCCCCCTAGGCCTTCTTTTCTCTAGACTGGCCATTATCCAATTCCTGAAACCATTCTTCATATGTTTTAATCTCCAGCCTTTAATCATCTTGGTTGCTCTTCTTTCCACTTTTCTTAAAGTCTCAACATCTTTTCTGTAATGTGGTGACCAAAACTGGATGCAGTATTCTAGGTGCGGCCTTGCTAAGGCTTTATAAAGCGGTACTATAATACTTCATGTGATTTTGATTATATGCCTGTTCATACAACCAAGGATTGTATTAGCTTTTTTGGCTGCTGCCGCACATGGCTGCCTCATGTTTAAGTGATTGTTCACTAGGACACCAAGGTCCCTCTCACAGTTAACTGTTTTGAGCCAGGTTTCACTTAATCTGTACTTGTACCTTGGGTTTTTCCTGCCCAGGTGTAAAACCTTGCTTTTCTCCACATTAAATTTCATTTTGTTGGATAGGGCCCATTGTTCAAATTTGTCAAGATCTTTCTGGATCCTGAGCTTGTCTTCTGGGGTGTTGGCTATTCCTGCCAGCTTAGTGTCATCTGCAAATTTGATGAGTTCCTCTTATAGTCCCTCATCTAAGTCAGATATTGAAGAATACTGGGCCTACGATGGAACCTTGTGGTAGTACTGTTTCCCTTCATGTAGATGTAGTACCATTAAGGACTATTCGTTGGGACTGGTGGATGGGCCACTGAATTCCATCCGGACCCCTCTGCAATGGAAAGTGTCTATGGGCAACAGAACAGATATCAGACCTGCCTCAAGTTGGGCTTCTAAGTAAAAACCTTAAATCCATTTGTTGAGAAAAGTAGTTTACCCGAAGAGAAGTGAATTGCAGTAGTGTAAAGCCAGAACTGAGAGTTTGCACCAGATTTCTGCCAGTTAACTTCCCTCCCTTGGTCAGTTCCCATTGTTTATCTCTTATTGTCCAATCACATTTAAACCAGTGGTGAAATCCACTTACCTTCGCTACTGGTTTGGGAATGGGAGCACGCACGCCTCTTCTGTGCATGCGCAGAGGGTCAAAAACAGGATGTAATGATGTCCCGGCAGGTGGGCGGAGCCTCCCACTGCCGGTGCTACTGGTTCACGCGAGCCGGATAGATCCAGCTGGATTTCACCACTGATTTAAACAAAATGTTTTGGAAACAGTCATTTTTTTTTTAATAAAAAGTTTTTATTTTTCATAAACATTTACATGTACAGTCATTTCCATCATTTTTCTTTTTTTATTTTATTTTATTTATTTATTTATTATAACACAGTAAAACAATACAAGACATACAACACTTATATAAAAGACTCTTTACAGCTTTTTCATAGTGGTCCGTCCTTCTTTACTATTTCCATGAATTTTACTTCATCTTATTTCAAATTACTATCTGTCCCCATCATTTCATTTACAATATTTCAATCACTAAATTATATTTTACCAATTTTTCCCATTGTTTTTGACATTTCTTTAACTTCCCCTTATTTTTCTTCATTTTTCCTTTCCTCCACCCACTTACAAATTTTATAGTATTCTGTATCTTCTTTTTCTTTGAGTTCTTTTGTCAATTTATCCATTCTGTGCATTCCAAATTTTTTTTTATCAACTCCTCCTCTGTTGACGTATTTTCTTTTTTCCAATTTTGGGCATAAACTATGCGGGCAGTTGTTAATATATGTATTATTAAATATTTTATTTCCTTTGTATAATTTTCTGTAAAGATCCCTAGCAAAAAATGTCTCTGGTTCTCCCTTCATTGATCGTTGCGTTATTTTCTCTAGCCATTTTTTGACTTTGGGCCAAAATTTCTTTGCTGCTGGACAAGTCCACCAGAGATGGTAATATGTTCCATAATTATTTTTGCATTTCCAGCATACAGGGGATTTGCTCGGAATCATCTTGGCTATTCTGGCCAGTGGTAAATGCCATCTATGGAACATCTTCAACTGGTTTTCCTTGTATGCCATAGATAATGTTAGTTTCAGATTCATTTGCCACATCTTTTCCCACTTCCCTAATTCTACTGTGTGATTGAAGTTCCTTGCCCACTTGATCATGGTTTCTTTAATTATTTCCTCTTCCATTTTATACCATAATAAGAATTTGTATATTTTGCTAATTAATTTCTGGTCCATCCCATGTATAATTTTATCCAATTTGTTTTGCTCCAATTGTACCTCATTCGTCTTTGTATTTTCTTTATATTTTGACCAAATTTGTATGTCCACCATTCAATGTCCTTGTTCAAAACCTGTTCCAATTCTTGCTTTGCTTTCAGTTTTCCCAAATCATTTAAAATATCCCTATATCTAATTATCTTAGTCAAATCTATTATATTTGGATGTGTTAGTGTTTCAGTAGGAGAGATCCAGGTCGGTATCTTCGTATAATGTTTTTTTATTTTAATCCAAATTGATAGCAGTGCATTCCTGAGAATGTACCTTCTGAAGTATCCATGTATTTTATATTTCTCATCCCACAGGAATGCATGCCACCCTACCTGTAGATCATGACCTTCAATTTTTAATATTCTTTTACTTCTCAGCTCCATCCATTCTTTCAACCACATTAGGCATGCTGCTTGATAGTATATCTCCCATTCCGGGAGCGCTACTCCTCCTCTTTCTCTGGTATCTTGCAGAACTTTTAATCTAATTCTGGGTTTTTTCCCTTGCCATATAAATTTTGAGATCAATTTATGTAATGAATTGAAAAATATTTTGTCTAATTTTATTGGTATAACCTGGAAGAGGAATAAAATTTTGGGCAAGGTATTCATTTTAATTGCTGCGACTCTTCCCATTAATGAAATTTGTAAGTTCTTCCAATTATCCAAATCTTTATTAATTTGCTGTATTAATTTATCGTAATTGTCTTGTTTAATTGAAGAACCTCTTGCAGTGAGCCAGATCCGTAGATATTTTATTCTTTTAATTGTTTGAATCTTCGAATTACCTTCTAATTCTTCCTTTTGTTATTTTGTGAAGTTTTTAGTTAATAATTTGGATTTACTTTTATTTATTTTTAGTCCAGCCACTGCGCCAAATTCCTCTATTTTTTCAATTAATTTTGGGCCTGATTTTAGGGGTTCCTCCACAATGAAGACCAAGTCATCAGCAAAGGCTTGCAATTTATACTCTTCATTTTTTTTATCTTCAATCCTTTTATCTTTCGGTCTTCTCTAATTTTGTTTAAAAGCGGTTCCAATGATAATATGAAGAGAAGTGGGAAAGTGGGCATCCTTGTCTCACACCTTTTGTTATCTCACATTTGTCGGTCATATCTTGTGTTTTGTATATATTTTCTCGATCATTTTTTCAAATTTAGTGCCAAATTCCATACTTTTCAATTCTTGTACCATAAATTTATTTATTTATTTATTGGTTTGATTTATATGCCGCCCTTTTCCGGAGACTCAGGGCGGCTTACAATGCGTTAAGCAATAGCCTTCATACTTTGTATATACCTGCTTAGTAGGGTTTTCGGGGGCCCCTAAGCGGTGTTCTTTTTTATACAAAGTCAGCTTATTGCCCCCATAAACCGGGTCCTCATTTTACCTATCTCGAAAGGATGGAAGGCTGAGTCAACCTTGAGCCTGGTGAGATTTGAACTTGCAGTAATTGCAGGCAGCTGGTGTTACTTAACAGTACTTAACAGTGCTTCCAATCCAAATTATCAAAAGCTTTTTGGGCGTCAAGGAAAACCAGTGAGACTGCTCTTTTACCCTTTACCTTTACTCCAACTTTCTTCTTCTTCTCCCCTTCTCTTCCTTCCTGTTTCTCCTCCTATTTCCTTCATTCTTCCTCTTCTTCTCTTTCCTACTTTACCTTCTCTTCCCCCACCACTCTCTTCTTCCCCTCTTCTAGCCTTCTCCTCTACTCCTCTTTCCCCTCCCTTCCTCTTTTTCCTTTTCTTCTTTCTCTTCTCTCTTCTCTCTCTACTCCTTCCCCTCTCTCCTTTTGTTTCCCTTTTCAGTTCAATCTAAAATGGTATTTGAGCAGCCCCAATTTCCTAATTATCTTTATTCTCATTTTAATTTATTCAATTATTATTTTTATTTCATCATTTGCGTACATTTTTATATCTCACTTTTTTCCCTTTTACACCCCCCCTTTTCTCCTTTTACTTGACATCATCTGGGTATCTATTTTTCTAATTCTTTTCTCCCATCTATTCTCTATTTTATCTCTATGTTCTTATTCATTTTTCTTTTCTAACCAGTCATAAAATTTATCCCATCTCTTGAAATACATCAACTCCTCTTTATCTTTTATTCTCAATGTTAATCTATTCATTTCTGCACATTCTAAAATTTTCTTTATAATTTCTCCTTCCAATGGGATTTTATCTGCTTTCCAATTTTGTGCAAATACAATTCTAGCCGCTGTTTTTATATGAATAATCAAATATGTATCTTCTTTACTATAATTCTCTGGTAAAGTTCCCAATAAGAGTATCTCTGGTTTAACTCTATATGTTGCTGCAACATTCCCTCTAACCATATTTGTATTTTCACCCAATATTGTTTTGCTTCTTTACACAACCACCACATGTGATAGTATCCCGGCAACTGGTGACATTTCCAACACTTAGCTGATTTATCTTTAAACATCTTAGCTAATCTTTCTGGTGGCATATGACATCTATAAAACATCTTATACAGGTTTTCTTTATAGGCTGTTTCCATTGTTAATTTATAATTTCTTTCCCAAAGTTGTCTTATCCAATTCTATGGTGTATCCAAAATTCTTTGCCCATGCTATCATTGTTTCTTTTACTTCTTCATCTTCTAGTCTAATATACAATAAATAATTATATAATTTCTTAATAATTTTCTCATCTGTTCCTGTCAATATTTCATCCAGTTCTCATTTCCCCAAGTTAAAGCCATATTGTCTACAATCTGCTTCATATCTTGATTGTATTGGCAGTCTTATGTACCAATCTATCTCAATCCTTTGACTCTCTAGTTCTTGTTTCAGCTCTCCCCGATCTGTCAAAATTTCTTTATATCTAACAATATTCCCCGTGTTCACAATATTTGGGTATGTCACCGCTTCTATTGTAGAAAGCCACATTGGAATATTCAAATAATGTTTTTCTTTCACTCTCCCCCCCACTGATAACAAACCATTTCTTATATATATATATATAAAAGCTGCCCATCGCCCGGTACGTTCTCCCAGGGAGGGCCTGCTCCGGGCGCCGTCAGCTAGACAATGTCGGCTGGTGACCCCCAGGGGTAGAGCTTTCTCTGTGGGTGCGCCCACCCTTTGGAATCAACTTCTCCTGGGGCTCCGGTTGGCTCCTGACCTTCGCACCTTCTGCCGCGAATTAAAAACATGGTTGTTTACATTGCCCAGCCTGGACTGAGAGGGCTTTTAGATTTGGGGTTTTTAATATAAATTATATATTATGTATTTTATATTTTTAACTGGTTGTTTTATTGTGAGCCGCCCTGAGTCCTCGGAGATAGGGCATATAAATTTTATTAAATAAAATAAATAAATAAAATAAATAATGTCTTTGTAAATATCCATGTATCCTTTGTTTCTCGTACCATAAAAAGGCATGCCTCAGTTGTAAATCATGACTCTCCAATGTCAATAGTCTTGTATTCCTTAATAAAATCCATTCTTTAATCCATGTTAAAGCTGCCTCTTGATAATACAGTTCCCAATTCGAAAGGCCAAACCCACCTCTAATTCTTGTATCTTGTAGCATTTTTATGTAAATCCTTGCTCTCTTTCCTTGCCACACATATTTCCACATTATTTTCTTCAACTCTTCAAAATATTTTTTCTCGTGTTTTATTAGTATAGTTTGAAATAAAAATATTTTTGGTAATACATTCATTTTTATTAATGCTATTCTTCCCATTAGTGATAATTGCAAGTTTCTCCATTTCCCCAGGTCTATTTCAATTTGTTTTTTCAGTTTATGATAATTGTCTTCTTTGAGCGTTGCACATCTTGATGTCAGTTAGATGCTCAAATATTTCACTTTCTTCACAATTTGAATGTCCAGTTTCTCCAGCATCTTCTTTTGCTTTTCTCTCATATTTTTTGACTAATATTTTTGTCTTATCTTTATTGATTTTCAGACTTGCTACTTTCCTATATTCTTCTATTTGTACTAATAGTTTTGGCGCTGTCTCTATTGGGTCTTCCATAATAAACACCAAATCATCTGCAAAGGCTTGTAGTTTGTGTTCTTCTTCTTTAATTCTCATTCCTTTTATTTCCTTTTCCTGCCTCACTTTTCTATTTAAAATCTTTAATGTCAATATAAATAATAATGGAGATAAAGGGCATCCTTGTCTTGTTCCTTTTCTAATATGTATTTTCTCTGTCATATCACCATTTACCATCATCACCTTTGCCGCTTGGTCTCTATATATAGAAACGGTCACTCTACGTGTTGGCATTCTTCTCCTTGGGAGACGACCGTGAAGACTTGGCCAGAAAAATCTTCTCACAGTTCAGTTTCACTTTCCCCCGGGCCCTCTCCCTCCCATCCAGTTTCTCCCCATGGTTCACAGCAAGCTGGCAGCTGACAACAGAGCTTAAAGCTCCCCTTGGTTTCATGGAAGCTGAACCCTATGACAGTACTTTTGAGCATGTCCAGAAGGCTGTTGTAGGAAGGATGGACACAGAACCAAAATGAAACATCAACTGCCAGAGGGAAGAGGCAAGTGCTGCGAAGTCATTCTGCAGCTGCATGAGTCGCTGGTCCACTGCGCTGTGTAACCCGGCAGAAAACAGGTTATGTTTTCAGGTGGACCTTAAACCCAAGCGCCCATTAAATCTCTTTGGACTGCATGCACCTGGGAAGGCAAGGCTGTCTGGTGGGGGAGGGGTGGCTAATCTTTCCTGCTGTTTCAGTATTCTGCCCATCTGATCTTCCGGGCACCCTCTTCCTCCCCTCCCAGGCACCGGAAGCATGCAGAAGTGCTGCCTTCCACTCAACTTCCAAATGTTTTGTCTATTGTAAACTCAGCTTGAGGTTTGGCAGTAATTCACTAGCCTGGTGACTTGTGCATTGTGCCTCACATAACCTCAGCTTGGCTTATGTGCCACAAAGCCATCCCTTTCCATTAAAGGGACTTTGTGAAGGGTCCTGGGTGGGGAAAGAGCCAGTAAGGGAGGGTGGGGGCCATCTTCTCAGCAACTCTGCCCTTGCCAGTCAGGAAGGGTGGGGTTGGAGGGGCAGCAGTAGCAGGAAGTGAGGAGTCAGCTGCTCCTTGCGGGCTGGAAAGGAAGAGTGAGGTGGCGTCAGAACAGCTGCTTGTCCATTTTTGTCCTCTCGCTGCTGGGTGAAGTCCCTCTGCTTCAGGTAAAGTCAGGACACCAGGCTCTCAGGGTCCTCCTTCCCCCCAGCGAGGGCTTGGCTCCCATTTGGGCTGCGCTCTGCTGCCTGGATTGAGGCCTGAATTGGCTTGGGGAACAGTGGGGCAGGGGGAGCCTCAGTCCGGCACACCCACCCCCTAATCTCCCCTACCCCTTTTCCTCTTTTACTCATCTTTTGGCATGGCTGAGCAAGAGAGGGGCATCTGTGCCTTAAGCAGATAGGCACATGGCCTGGCCTCTGCTGCCTCTGGGATTGGCCATCCTGGGGTGGATAAGGCAACGTCAAATGCCCCCACCTGGGCTGCCCGAGAGCTTGCAAGATGGAGTTGGGAAGGGGAGGAAGAATGCCTCTGGGGTGGGAATGGCTGAAGGCATCCCTGTGCAGAGGACTCTCTTGGCCCCACTGGCTCCCCCATCAGCTTTGCTCAGGGGTGGCAGCTTTGGGTCAGGTCCACTTGGGCAAATTGCGGTGAGAGACCTGGCTGTAGTGACAAAAGAACCCAAACAGTGGGAAAACTTAAATGTAAAATTTATGAGAAAAACTACCAACATAACTAAATGCCTTGGAAAGGAAGGACATTATAATTCCTGATAGCAGGGGGTGGGGGAGGTCACACTTTATGGCTGGGCTGGGTGCTGCAAAAAGGCCCTGCCTTCTGGGCCTCCAGGAACTTCTGAGGCCAGTAAGTAACTGAATAGTTGCAACAGGGTGGGCCCAGTGGGACACTTACTCCAACTAGTAGCTGGCTTCGACGCCCTTTTCATTAAAGAAAGTGCCTCATAAACTTTATGAGAGCGAAGGACAATCTGATTAATTACCTGGGGGTCTAGTCAGGGGTGAAATCTAAAATTTGTTACTACTGGTTCTGTGGGTGTGGCTGGGGGGGGGAATGTGACTGAGTGGGCGTGGCCAACTTTTTTTTTTAAACTTTTACTTTTAAAAGCATTTTTTCTACAACCTTAAGAGGTTGCAGAAAAAAATGCAAAATTACGATCCCAGCTGAGCCGTGCGATCAGAGGCTTTTTTTTTAACTTTTAAAAGCATTTTTTTTGGCCAAAGAGATTGTAGAAAAAATGCTTTTAAAAAACCACCAGCCTCTTGATGATCGCGTGGCTCAGCTGGGCATGGTGGTGGTGGAGGGGGGCAGGGATTTTTGCTACCAGTTCTCTGAACCACCCGCCGCCATTGCTACCGGATCGGGTGATCTGGCCCAAACCGGGAGCATTTCACCCCTGGGTCCAGCGGGAGCTTTAGAACAGGCAACTCCCCTGCCCCCTCCCCCCCCCATGACAGTGCAGAACCATCCAAAGCCAGTCCCTGAGCTCAGCTTCCTACTTTCCAAGCACTACTCCATTTTGCCTTGGTTGTCTCATCCAGGTTGGTAGTTTGGGAGCCTAGCCTGCAGCCCACCCATCAGCTGAGAGGCAAGTGAGGGAAGAGAGGGCCGGGCCTTTCCACCCAGCAATTCATTGCTTCACACACACACAGCCTTACAAGAGGGAGGAGCCCAACTTTACCCCCCTTGAAGGTTCTGGGCCCTCCCCCCGTCAATTGTAATTGCTTAGGGTAGGCCACACCTGGGTCAGGAGGCCAGAGACAGCTGGTACTTAAGATGATGTGGGGTGGGCGTGGAAGGCGCCTTCAGTTCTCCCCTCGGCTTCACCAGCAGCTGCCATGGCTGAAGAATCCCAGCCTGAGAGGCCTCTCCTAAGAGCCACCGAAGAGCCTTCCTCCTCCGTGCACTCCCTCCTGATGGGTAGGCTGCTCTTTCTCTCCATGCCTTGATTTTGCTGGTACTCCCCCATCTCTAGAGTGCCTAATCTATTCCTCCTCCTCCTCCTCCTCCTCCAGTTCTAGGAAAAGTTCTCTTTGCTGCGTTGCCTGTGGCAGGAATCGCCATTGGTGAGTGAAACCCTCACCCTGTCCCTGCCTTCCCACAGTCCCTTTGGCTGGCCTGTTGCCCTGTTCCAGTGGTGCTGAGTCCTTTGCTGGGCCCACTCTGAACTGGTCAGCTCCTGCAGGGGCTGGATAACCTGCTGCCTACAATTTGTGAAGCTATCAGTCCTAGTCTGCTGAGAAAACTGGCTGGTGCAACCCAAACTCTGGCTTACAAAGCACCACTGGCTTGTGCCTGGATGTGCTCCGTGAACCAGGCCCACAAGTTGTGGTGCTCAGAAGGGTCTGCTGGGCTGTCCTTCCCAGGCATGGCCCTCAGGCATTTGCCTTGGCTGGGAGTCCCTTCATCCCCTCCCTCTTTGGCCTGGAGCTCTTGGCCGGGCATAGAAGCAGCTTTGCAGGCTGTCCTTTTGCTGTTGGGCTGTGGAAATGGGTTAACTCTGAATTGGCCAATGGGGACTGTGCTGGGCTGGGCTGCTTTTTCTCCTCCTTCCACCTATACCTGCACATTGCATGTCTTCCTGGGTTGGGGCAGAGATACCCGTTGGAGCCAGGCCAGCTTGGAGTCTATATCTGGGAGGTGACTAAGGCTCCCAAGCTGTCTCTCAAATTTCAGGAAAGGGTCTTTTTTCATCTTCTGCTTCTGGGCTCCTCTTGACATAAGGAAGTACTGATGGCCGAGGCCAGTAGGAGGGATCTGCATTCTGGGGTATGTCATATTGAAGGAAGGTCTGAGAATCTAAGATGCTAATCTGTTGCTCCTCCATCCCCAGGAGCAGTCTATCTTGGTCAGTGTCCCCGGCAGCCTCTCCTTCCCATTTACTTGCTCATCCTGAGTGCTGTTACACTCCTGCTCCTGTTCCTTAGCTGTGTTCCCTGCGGGGATGGCACCAACCGACCAAGCACACTACTCAACTGCTTGCGGGGAGCGGGGTTCCTCTTCCTCTGCGCCTGGTTCATTGCAGGTAGGGGGAGAGGCTCCTGGAGGTGCTAGCTGGGGGTCCTAGCCCTTCCATGGTGGGGCACAGAATTGGCAGAGCTGCCTGGCTGTGATGGCCGGAGAGCTTTTTCTAGAGGTCTTGGCAGTTTGCTGCACTGAAGGCTGCTAACTGGGTTCGGGCCTCCCCTGCCCACAGCAATAGCACCCTAGGAACAGCCGTTTGCCTCCCTCCCAGCCGTTCCTGAGCCCCAGACTAAGCAGCGGCCGGACTTTAGAGGCAGTGGACATGGGGCATCAGGGCAGGAGCCCGTAGCCCTTCCTGACCATGTTCCTCGCTTTCCCCCCAACAGGTAATGTGTGGGTCTATTCTATCTACCCCCCAGACTACGAGGACTTTGGCCAGCCTGACTTTTGCCACCGGACTCTCTTCCTCTTTGCCTTTGGGGTCACCACCGCCATCCACGCGGCCTTGGCCCTGGCCCTGCTGCTGGCTCTCAGCATCCTCGTCGGCATCCTCATCTTGAACGCCGTGGTGTCCGGCCGCAGGCGGGGCTGCAGTGGGGGTCTGTAGCAGCCGAGGGCGGCCTTTGTTCTTAGCAGGGATTTTTGTTAATAAACCTCGATGTTGCTAAACTGCCGCCTCCTCTATCCGCACCTGGGCCGGAGGGGCCTCGGGGGCGGGGGGCGGGGTGTCTCGGGACAAGGCCGAACTCCACCGGCTTGCCTGGCTCGGCAGGACCGATCCTCTCTCTGGCCGACGGAGCTCTTCGCTGAGCCTGGGTGGGTGGGTGGGGGGAGCTCCCCAGGGATTCGCAGCTCCCCTGCACCCCCAACGGAGAAGGCTCCATCGAGCCGCCGCTCAAGCTCCCTCGGGACATTAACAGCCTCCGCAATCCGAACGACCAGGCCGAGGCACGAGCAGCGCCCCCGTCAGGCGTTGGCCGGCAGGGCGCGGAAGCCGAAGGGGACCGGAAGGAGGATAAGGTGGGGCCGCCCCGCCCGCTCCCGTCGGCGTCGCGGGAATAGGCGGAGTTATCCGTGGAAAGCACCGCCCGCCCGATCTCGCGCGAATCCCGAGCTGAAGCCTCTTCGGCCAGACCTCTTTCACCGGAAGCGGGCGCCCGTGTGGCCCCTTCCGTTTCCGCAGGGGTCAGTGGGCGGCGTCGCGGCTCCGTTTCCGCCTGCCTCTCTTGTCGGCTCCGGCCGGGCATGGTGAGCTTCGGAGGGGGGGGGAGAGGGGGAGGGGGAGGGGCGGCCCGGCTGACCGAACGCTGCTTTCCCGGCAGGCGGCGGCGGCGGCGGCTGCAGCGGCGGCCCTCACACAGGGCCTGGAGCGCATCCCGGACCAGACCGGCTACCTGGTCATCTGCGACGGCGCCGTCCTGGCGGTGAGGAGCTGCCGGGGGCCGGGGTGGGGCCGGGGCCGGGGCCGGCGGGCGCTGACCTCCCTCTCCCCGCAGTCGGCCGGCGACCTGGAGAATGACGAGCGCACGGCGGGCGCGATGGCGGAGCTGGTGAGCACGGCCTGCGCCTTCCGGCTGCCGCGCGGCCCGGAGCTGCCCTTCCGCCGCGTCTCGGGTGAGCGTCCCGGAGGGGAGGCGGGGGGACGGGCGGGGGCGTCGTGGCTTCCACTGACCGGCGCCGTTCTCCCTCTTCCTCCCCCCGCAGTGGTCTTTGGGGAACACTCCCTGCTGGCGACCGTCTCCGGCCAGAAGCTCTTCGTGGTGAAGCGGCTCAACAGCGTCCCGGAGCCCGTGGTCGTCTGAGCGGCGGGGAGGAGGGCGCCGTCTGCTGCTTCGCCCCCCCCCCCCCCCCCCCCCCCCCCCCCCCGAAGCCTGAGGCGGAGCGGGACCCCCCCCTCCCCCCCCCCAACAAAAGCCGGAAGGAGACCCTCCCCTCACCTGCCGCCTCTCCTTCGGGCGGTTCCCTCCTGGGCCACCTCTGCCGTTTCTGCCCCTGCTTGGGCCGTGGTTCCCATCCTCCACAAATGCCTGGCATTTGGTCGAAAGATGCCAAAGCATTTCCCTGCCTGATCATCCCGGGGAGATGCTGCTTTGGTGGGAGTTGGCCTGTGGAGAAGCATCCACCGAGCTTTTTATATGCCGTTCGCTGTTCCGAGGGGGAGCAAAGCAAACCAGTTTCCACATTGTATGCTTGCTAGCTGCTTTCGGCTGCCTGAAACCAGCGAAAGATCTAGGCGACCGGTGGAGATCCAGCAGTGATTGTTAAATCCGACCACGCCTTGAGATCGGGTGAATTCATTGGAAGTAGAGGAAGAAAGAGGGATGGTGCCAGAGGACAAACCAAGAGATCCATTAAGCGTGTTATTTGCCGGCCAGCCAGTGCAGTTTATTTGTAAGCACATACATACAGAGTTGGAGTTGCTTCTGAATGAATAAAAAATATAAATAACAAAAATTAAATAAAGTGCAACGGAAAGTGATCTTGGCCTGGGAGGATGAGGTAGGGAGAGGGCTAGAGACTGGTCCTCTCCCATTTAGGAATGCAGCAGATACTGGGAGAGATACTGGGAGCCTTCCAAGTCACATCCCATGGCCTAATCCAGGGCGAAAAAGAAAAATCGATTTGGGGAATGTCCAGTTGTTAAAAGTACCTTCTACCTGCAGGGGCTGGAGTCACTTTGCCTTTTAATGGTGACACCTACTGCTGTCCGTACCTTGCTTGGGGAGAGGGGGCGATGTAGCTGCTCCTTCCTCTTGGCTTTCAGACAAGTTCCCCCCCTCCAGAGTGAAAACACTCCTTGCTGCTGCTCAGCTGAAGGAGCATGAAGAGAGTGGGTGGGTGAGGGGGGCAGCAGTCCCTGGAAGGCTGAACTGTGGCACAGCCAGGAAATGCTACCAGCCAGGGGTGTGACTGGAGTCCTGTTAGGAGATAAGGGGTTGAATGGACGAGGAGGGAGGGGTGTCATCCTGTGAAATTCAGGTGTCTGGAGCAGATGCGAGATTGGGTGGTGCATACTGTGGGTTGGTTCTGAGGGTTGGCTGAAGGCAGCCAGTGCTGCCCTTTCTGGGGACCCCTCCTCTGTCATGTGACAGGCGCTAGCACCAGTACCTTGCACTCTCGTTTGGCAATTTTGTCAAGGGAAAGAGCAGCCTTTTCCGGGGGTAAATAAAGAGGGCGACCCACCGGGGAGCCTACAGGGGGAGTTATGGCCCGGCGCTCCATGACGCTTCCTGACCTATTAGAAGGGAAGGAGGGGGAGAGAGGTTAGCAGGGTTTTCCCTGAGAGTCCATCCCTTTTCCTCCCAGCTGATGTCTGCGGGGCCTAGGGTTGGGTCTCTCCAGCCACTGCCTTCCCACCCTTCCAATTAGCTTCCTCTACAGCACCCACCTCAGGAGGTGTCCCCGTGCCGGCTGCTGGTGTGAGAAGCTCTGGGAGCGCCCGAGGCTGGCCTGATGACGCCCCACCAGCTCCCGCACTGCTGGGCTCCCAGGGCTGCTTTTGCGGGAGACCGGCCGGGCCTCTGGAGGTGGGTTGGACACGCTGGCTGTGAACTGGAGTTTCAGCTTCATGTGCTGGGACAGCTGCAGTGGGGCGGGGAGGAGAAGAGAGGATAGTCCTCTTGGTTGGTCTGCAATGGTTCTTCTATGCAATGTTGAAATTGGGTGTAACCGAGATAGATCATCCACAATTGGCAAAAGGACCCTGGTTTGTTGAGCCAACTAATCCATGCTTGTCTTGTGCAGCATGGCAGGACATTTACCTCAAACAAGCCAGCACGCAGAGCCTGGAACGTGACACAGAACGTGCGGGCGCTGCCCTTGCGAGAGAATCCCAGGTTATTGAGAGGGGTGTGGCACACAATGGAGTCTTGAGGGTCTGGTGTGGCACAACATTCGTCGCAGACATTCGGCTTCTTCCCTTAGGGACCGGGGTGAGGGTAGCAGAGCAAGAGTGGTTAAGAGGGGCCCGAAGGCCCAGAATGCTCCCAAACCCAACCAGTGGGGAGGAGGCTGCAAATTGGCCAAGCGTAGAAGAGCTCCTGCTCATCCCGTCTGCCTGAAGAGGAGTCAGCCATCCCATCCTCCCAGTAACCCTCCTCTACCCCCTGCTCACCTGCAGCAGCACTTTCTGGCGTCCACACCAGGCGCACTGCCAGAAAGTCCTGCAAATTATTGATGAGTGTGTACGTAACTACAAAGCGGCGATGCAAGACAACTGGCGACTCACATTCTGCAGTCATCACAAACCTGGGACGGGCAAGGCGGATGCTGGGCAGCCTAGGAGGGAAAGCGAGAGAACAACGCGTGGCAGGCCCTCTGTGCTAAAGCCCTAGAGCTGTTGGCTTGCCACCTTCCTTTGGTATCGGGGTGGGAGGAGCACTCTGTCCTCCAGCTTTTTTTCCCCTGAGGTAAGTGAGATGGGCGGCAAATCACACCCGGAACTTTGGCTGCCAAGGAAGACGAGAACCAACAACCCTCTGTGCCCCTTCGGGATCAACCCTCTCTCCACCTCTAAACAACATATCTCCCCACCCCCCCAGAAGAGGACAATGTCTACATACAGGAATGCACTAAAAACAGTGGCTTATATACTTCTAAACTAGGCTTTGAATCTTCTCCGGGAAGATTCTTCACCCTGAAAAGCTAGAATACTTCATGGTGATGACTTACCCTGGGCCTCAATAGCCTGGAAATACAAGGTGGGTGATGGAGTACAGAATACAAGGAGATAACTGATGAAAATAATCCAAGGGTTTGGAGAATTCTCAAGATAACAAAATGATATTCAAAAAGCAAAAATAAAAATAACAAGATACTTTATGCAAGAAAATTTCCTGTAGAAGGTAGAAGGAATCTGGTTGCCAGATAATACAGTCAGAGACGTATCTGACTTTGTATCTGACAAGCAACAATCAAGAAATGTAGCAAAAGAATTATATTAAACTATAGGAAGTGAAAAAACTTAAAGCGGTCTTGGATAGGATTAGAATAAAATTAGAATAGAATAGAGCTAGAAGGGACCTTGGAGGTCTTCTAGTCCAGCCCCCTGCTCAAGCAGGAGAACCTATACTATTTCAGTTAAGTGACTGTCTCTAGTCTCTTCTTAAAAGCCTCCAGTGATGGAGCACCCATGATTTCTGAAGGAAGGCTCCACTCATTGAACTGTGACTATTAAGGTTAATGTGTTACCCAAATGACAACAAGGCTGATCCCAGGGGAAAAAATATTGAAAGAATGGTAATAAATGTTAGTAAATATTATATAGAGTAGGAAAAAAAACCCACAGTAAAATTTAGAGTTCTGTAAGATACAAAAGAGAGGCCTAGTCTTGTTCTTCCAAACTTTGTATTACAGGGCGAGCTGTCTGTCACAGCTAACAGAATAAATAAAATAGCTGAACAGTGAATATTGGAAGGAGTCAACCAAGCTAAGGGGCTTCGCAGGTATTTCTGATACAGGGACATGAAGGTGGGCAAAAATGGAAAAGAACATAAGATAGAACAAGAATGTTAGAATGGAACCTGAAGTCTAATAATTTTGCTGCTAGCCTCTCCTTTTCATATTGCAGTCATGAACTATAGTGGGAAAAATGCAACTACTTATGCAGCTATTTGGATCCCATGAATGAACTAGACACAGAGAGAACTTGATGACCCGTGCGCTCCCACAGAGAGGGCCTCCTCGGGGTGCCATCAGCCAAACAGTGGAGGCTGGTGACCCCAGGGGAAGGGTCTTCTCTGTGGGGGCACCTACCCTCTGGAATCAGCTGCCCCCAGAGATAAGGAGAATCCAAGACCTCAGTGCCTTCCGTCGTGCCCTTAAAACCTATTTTTTCAAGCAAGCCGGGCTGGCTTAAGAAGAAATTTTTAAATGTTTTAATTGGTAGTGAGTTTTAATTGGGCCAAATTTGTATATCTTTTAAGTGTTTTTTAATATTTGTACTGCATGTTTTTTAATTCTGGCTGTACACCGCCCTGAGTCCTCAGGGAGAAGGGCGGTATAGAAATTCAATAATAAATAATAAATAAATGAAGGCCAGACCGTGTCAACGTTTGTACTTACAAATCGTTGGAAGAATAAAAACTGACTCCAAAACAAGGATGGGCTTCTAAGAAAAATGGCAGAATTTGAAATACTCCTATAGAATCAGGGCTACCTACTAAGGCATATTATAGAAACTCAAGATATGATACGTTCTCTCTCTATACACACACACATATGGATGTATGGTATATATAAACTCTTGAGAGCAAGCTTGGCATCTTCCAACCCTTACATTACGCTTATGCTGACAGCTGCATGACACTGAAACCTCAGCCTTCAACACAGCAGCTCCCAGCCCAGTTTTCCTGCTGGCTGTTCCATTAGAAGGGCTGCTTGCAAGGCAAGGGTTCTGCAGTGGTGAACATCAGGCTGCCCAGAGCCGCCTATAGATGAGACGTTTGGGAGAAAGTTAGTGCTGTGGACACACAGCCTATCTGGATTTTAGCAAAACATTCGATACGGTTCCGCATAATGAACTCCTAAATCGGTTATGCAGGCCAGGGCTTAACTACTGGGTGGTTCAATGGATGATAGGAAGCTGGCTCAGGGACAGATCCCAGGGTGTGGTGGTGAACAGGCCACTCTCTGAACAGAGACCTGCCACAAGCAGCGGATCACAAGGCCTGTTCTGTTCAACATGTTTGTAAGTGATATAACAGAAGGATTGCTGGGTAAGCTTCGTCTTTCTGCTGATGACATAAAGGTGTGTAGTGGAGTTGATGTTCCTGGGGGTATTCGTAACATGGAAAACCAATTGGCATTGCTGGAAAATTGGTAAAAAATGTGGGGAAAGATGCAGTTCAGTGTTTCTGAAAGTAAGACCACCCACTCAGGGGGAGGGGAGAATCCTCTGGCAGGGTACAGTATTGGGTGTACAGTGTTAGACAGAACAACAGAAGGAAAGAATTTAGGGGTGCTTATAGCAGATGGCTGCAGAATGAGTAAACGATGAGTAAATGGTGTGGCCAGGCAGCTTTGAAGGCCAACAAAATTCTGGGATGCCACACTAGAGGAATCTCCAGCAGGAAAAAAGAGGCCCTAATCCCATTATATAGGACTTTGGGGCTGTTTTGCCTTTCCGAGCCAGGCAGGACATCCCTGCTAGACTGCCAAGATGCCTTCCTCATCTTCTGTGCCAGCCAGACTCCCCTCCTGGGCACTCTAGGGCTGGCTGTGTCCTTTCCGGCTGGAAAGACGAGCTTCTCACCTGTAGTGCGTGTAGATGCTGCTCGTGAATGGGAGTTTGGGGGTCGACCACTGCAGCACCGCAATGAGAGGAACCTCCAGGCCCTGCAAGTGCCAGGGGAGAATGAGTGGCTGCCCCCCTGCGTCCCTCTCCCACTCTGTGCTGCAGGTGCCCAGACAACGAGGGCCGGGGGGTGGGGGATCTCACCTCTTTGGTGCTATCAGGGGGCTGCTCTGGTGCCTGCAGTTGGAAAAGGAAATTTTGCTCCTCCAGTGCCCGGAGGGAGCAGGGCCAAGCAGAGGTGGCCGAGGGCACCTGGCAAAAGGAGGCCATGGAGACTTCACCAGATTGGTGGCTGTGGGGAGGGGGAACAGAAGCAGTGTAAGAAAAACCTGCAACCCAGCCCCCTCCTCCCACACATGTGCATGCACACACCTGCTTTCCTGGCACACACATCAATTCTAGGCATCAGGGGAATGGAGCACTGCTTCTGCCCACAGCCCACCCCGGCTGGGAAAAGAGAAGGTTTCCATGCCAGGTTTTGCCATGCAAGAAGCTCCCTTCTGAGCTCATGGGCATGCAGATGGCACCCCTTAAGGTCCCCTTGATGCCTGGCCTCTGCCTTCCCTGAAGCAGCTTTTCCTTCTGCCTCTTCGGGGCAGCCCAAGGGTGCCCTACAGGAAGGAAACTTTGAAGGGCTCTAACAGCCAGCCATAACTTTTTGGCCGCCCTCCCTCCCTCTCCCCACGGAGCAAGAAGTATATTTATTTATTCCACCTTTATTATTTTTAGAAATAAGGTAGCAAACATATCCAACAACCCTGTAAGGGGGGCTGGGCTAAGAGAAGGGGACTGATCCAAAGTCTCTCAGCTGCCTTTCATACCTGTGGCGGCTCCAAAACTGCCTCCAGGCTTCTCACCTGGGGATTTAAACACTAGACAAACTGGCTGTAGCTAAGGCCTTGCTGTGGCTCATCCAAATACCAGCCCTGGAAATGCAGCTCAGAAAATGGTTGGATTTGGGCTGTTCCAAAGCAAACAGCATGTTTTGAAGAGTAGAGAATGTTAGTTAAATGCTCCCTCAGTCAGACACACACACACACACACACACACACACACACACACACACACACACACACACACTGGCCCTCTTACCAGATATCATCAACTAGCAAGACGGATCCGTCTGGCATCATGGGAAGGTAACTGGCATTCAAGTTGGGCAGGATCCGCAAGTCCCACACCGAGAGCTCATCCTGGGAGGCAGCATTCAGAACTGGGAAGGGAGGGGGGCCAAAGCGGGGCAGGGGGAGAGCGCATATGGGTCTTGCCTGCAGAAGAGACGGACCTCCCCCGGGCAGGTGCAGTGGGGGACCCTCCCCTCCCTGCCGAGCAACCCACCTTTGAGCACCGTCAAGTGCTTCCCGGACACGCTGAGTTGCTGGCACTTCAGCTCCGGGGGCGGCAGCACAGTCAGCATGGTGCTCACTGTAAACCAAGGGCAGAGATGGAGGCATCAGCTCCGCACTGCCGCGGTGGGAACGCGGAAGGCCGCCCGCCGTTCAGGCTCACCTTGCGCCTTGAAGGCGCCCTGCTCTTCGCGGAAGATCTGGGAAGGGGCCCGATCCTGCAGGATGCTGAGGTAGCCGCGCTCCCGGACCTCGCCTCTCTCTTGGTCGCGTCTCCAGACGGTCGCCACGATCTGCGGAAGAACGGGCATCACCCCTGGACAACCCCGCCTGGAGGGCGCTGGCCGGGGCAGGGCAGGGGGCTTACTTTGGCTTTGACGGTACTGGGCGGCAGCCTGTCCAGAGAAATCGTCAGCGGAAAGATGACTTCGTCGGTGGACACGATGGGCTCCTCGGGGGGGACCTGCAGGAGGGAGGCGAGGGTCAGAACGGTCCTTGGGGCGCAGCGAGCCCCGCCGCCGCCCCGGTCCCGGTCTTACGGCCACAGCCATTGTTCCCGGGGCGCCGTGGCCGTGGGTCAGGAGCGCCCGGCACTCCCGGAAGACGCTTCCATTGGCGGCCGCCTCTCCGGCTCCAGCCGCGCCCTCCTCCGCCGCTTCACCAAGGAGGGCCTCGTCTCCAGCGCCGCCGCCGCCGCCGCCGCCGCCAGCTGGGCTGACGCTGGCCAGGGCCGAGAGCGAGCCTGCCAGTTCCCCCCAGGGCGGCCGGGGGGCGCCGCCGGCACCCGAGCGGCACCGCAGGACCAGCAGGAAGCGGACGGTCTCGCCCAGATAGAGGTGGTTCCTCCGGGGCAAGGCCCGGTACCGGCCTGGCTCTCCCAGAAGCACCTCGCGGCCCGGGAAAGGCACAGCCGGGAAATACATGAAGTAGTCGCACTGGGACTCCATGCCGGCGGGCGGCGGGCGAGTTCCCAGCCGGCCGGCGAGAGGCTGCTGCTGCACTGGCGGAGCGCGCGGCGGCGGGGCGGGGGCGGCACGGCATGGGCGGCTGGGGTCCCCCTGGTCGGCCTCCAGCCGGGCAGGTACTGAGGGCGAGGAGAGGCGCGCGGCCGGCGGATTCGGCCCGGGGTCTCCGGGAGAGCAAGGCGGGCAAGGAGGCGGAGGGAGGCGGCCGCAGCGCGGCGGGCGGGGCCAGGAAGCACTCGGCGTCTCCCTGCTGACTGCCCGCCCCTTCCTCGCCAGCTGCGCGGTGCGGGGAGCCTTCCCGCAGCCTCCTCAGACCGGCTCCTTCCCGGGCGGAGCGGTTCGGAGGACTTCCTTTGCCCTGGAGCCCTTTGGCGTTGGCGACGGACAGCTGGGAGGGAGTAGCGGAGGCCCAAGGCCGACTTGGCGCGCATCCCTTCCTGGGCCGAGGATTTGGGTACAGTGGTTATGCTGTTCTCACAGTTTTTGCGTTAATAAATAAATAAATAAATGTAGTTTCCACATATTAAATAATCAACTAGAATCGAATACGGCGGACCTGAAAAGGTTGTGATGCCGTTTGAATTTCCAATATTTCTGCCCAGCACAGCTTCCTTGCACAGTTCCTGCTGCCTAGCCTTAAGCCCGGAATTACAATGGTGGTCATTAAGCATGTCATCACATGACCATGCCCGGTTTTGCAAACTTTTAAAGCGCTGTGATGGTTAAGCAAAATCCGTTACACCCAAAGAACGTTTTTTTTGCCAAAAGCTGAAAGTAAACACTGGAAATGGACAAAAATTGCCAGAAATCGCGATCTTTGGACTGCGGGATGCTGCAAACGGCGGTAAAAGTGGGCTGCTTGCCAAGCGCCCAAAGTGCCATAGGGAACTCCGGAAACAACTCGCAGGAATCCCTTTGCGGATCTGCCCTAATGTTAACCGGGGACTACTAACAGAGTTGCTGAGTTTGAGGTTTACTTTCTCAATGACTCTAGAAGATTCTGCACATTCTGGATGGGACAAGCAACGCTGTCCGTTTTCTTGCCTGATAACTTTTCAGATATATTTAAATCATGTTATGGTAGCTCCCCCCTCTCCCCTGCCTCTTCAGCTGCTCTGGGGGTAGGATGCACTTTTGAAGTTAATCCCCCCCCCCTTTCTCTCTCTCACACACACACCAAGCTACTAGGGCTAGGAAGTGCCACCTGAAAGTTGATTTTTTTCTTCTCTATTGTTCTCACCAACATCACTGCCCAGATTCAGAGTAAATTGTTCAAGTTGTGAGATAAGTCCTGCAGATAAGAGGAGGAGCTGGTCCATGCATTTCCTTCCTCGGGAAGAAGGTGGGTGGAGGGGTGGCAGTGAGAAAGCACCACCCAGCCCTGATCTGAAGTGGTGCCATGCAGATGGACAAGAGGAAGGTCAGGCTGAAAGTGACTGGTCCTGCCAGCAATGGGTCACTTCTCTGGCCATTGGCCTTTCTCAAAAGCAGAAATGTCCCCTTCTGGAGACCAGAATCTTGGTTTCTAAGGATAAAAGGTGCCTTAGGAAGACAAAACAAGTAAGGCCCAGACTACAACAATCAATTAATGTTTTAATTTTTTATACTGATATTCTCCTTTTTGAAAGTGAGCACAGTAATTGTACAATGGGAAAAAAAATCTAAACAGCATCACTGCCCAAAATGCTGGAAAGAGCTATTGTAATTTGAGAGTTCCACAGTGTGAATACTGATTGAACCAGAGGTGCCGGCCTAGCTTTTGGGTTGACTTGGCTACTGGGGCTAATAAAGAACAAAGGTGCAAATCTGAACTACTGTATAGCAACAGAAGTGATGAGCCTGAGGTTCTTGATCTCTCAGGTGACCTGAAGACGGTCCAGGTCAGGCCTGCCTCCCAAGACCGAGACCGAGATGGCACTGTTCTTCTGTAGTTTCTCCAGCTGGAGAGTTGGGCGCACTCTTCTCCGCAAGAATTAGGCATGCCTAACTCAATGGTGCTCAGACCGTTTAGCATGCCATGGTGTAGTCCTGCAGTCTGCTGTGGATGATGGGTGAGAGTTGGGAGCCTGGAGGTGGGAGCTCCTAGGTTTCACAGCAGCAACCAGATTCTGCCGGGAACACCCATGGCTTGCTTCCCAGGATTATGTGGGATGACAGCTATTTCTCCACCCCGCCCTTTTGCATAGTTCAACCTTGGTTTTAAGGGGCAACAAAATCCAGTTTTTATTTTCACTGAGTGGCAGCCAGACTACGGAGCTTATGCAAGGGACAGCTGGGCCACAAGGCCTCCTGGGAGTAGGCAGGAGGAGTAGGAGGCCATGCACCTTTTCTTGAGGCTCTTTTGTTTAGGCTAAAAAGAGAAACAGACCTGAGGTGGATAGACCAAAACCTGTTTAATCCCTACACCCCTAACCAACCCTGATGCCCAGCAGGATTAAGCCCATAAGAAGGTCATCCTATCGTCGGTTTCTGGCCTGCTGGCCTGGCTGAGCTAAAGCTGGGTTTAGGCAAAGCTAAAGAAGCTATTGGAATGGCCTTTCTCCGGAAGCCTTTTATTTCTTGCAATTTTTTATTCTGTATGTGAAACTCTCCATAAATTAAGCCCTTCTAATTGAGTCACAAACTCTGAATGATTAATTGTTGAAACAATTATTGTTTCCTCACCTTCCTTCCCATTCTGGGTTGGTTCTGTATCTTGCTGGCTTTCTCGTCAACTTCAGTGCAGCTTCATTCTCTCCCAGTGTTTGCCAGCAGTGCCTCCACAGGTCCTTGAGTTTCTGCCCCAGCTCCAACCCTGGGCTCAGGATCCCCAAATATGGCCCTGCTGCCTGGGTCCTTGAGCTGTCTGCATGGCCACCGGAGCCTCTCTGCCTGAGAAGTCTCCGGTACAGCCTCCTTTCCCCAAGCAGAGAAGGATGTGCAGAGAAGAACCAGGAAGCCCCGTGGCCGCTTCAGCTTCCCTGGCCTTCTGGGTATGAGCCCCACTGCCTCTGGGGCAAGACAGTGGCAGGGGAGAGAGGCACTCCACAGCCAGACAGCAGGAGCACTTTGGTGGGCCAAAGGGTGGAGTGAGAGCCTAACCTCTTCCCCCCAAGAATGCTGGTCTACCAGGCTTTGGAAGATGCCTTGTTAGGGTGGGAGGGGGAAAAATACTAGCGAAGGGCCAGATATTAGCCAAAGGGGAGGGGGTCATGCTCTTCCTGGCTCAGTCATAAGAAATTCCAATTACGGAAGCTCCTCTCACATGAAGCTGCTGGGTGTGCTAGATGCCAGGGAGGGTGCGTGGCCCTGTTTGTCTCCGAGTCTTAAGCAACCCCAAGCTGTTTAAAAGAACTGATAGCCTTTTGCCTCTCAAAACACGGGAACCTCTTCATTTCTCTGGCATTGCATATCCCTGCAGCTCTCCGAGGGCCCCTCTGCCCATTGCATCCTGCATGGATGGGAGTGTCCCACAGAGCGCCGGGCGGGGGGGCACTTCAGTCGGATGGCTTCTGCCCAGAGCTATTGTGAGCGCCTTCCCCTCCCTGTCTGAGGTTGCCTCTCTTGTAGGGGTGGGGAAACTGCTTGGCATCAAGGAGGTCCTTGTACTGCAGTTCAGGAGTGACCATCTGCTGACACACGACCTGCAGGCCGGATGCCAGGCTGGGTTGTAGGGCATAACCCAGGATTGGCACCTGCCCAAACTGGAAGGGACGGATATGCTCATCAGCAATGTGGCCCGGCTCCAGCGGTCCCCCGCCCTGTAAACAGCGCTGCGTAAACTCTGCCCGCTGCTTTCGGAGAATGGCCACTTCCCCAGCCATGCGGGCAGTGCCAAAGTGTTTCACACGTGCCCAGAAAGTGCGATTGAAGTGAGTGTAGAGATGCCAATCCAGGTGATTCCAAGCACGGAGCTGAGCTGCATCGGTGCGCCCCAGCTGGTGAACCGCCTCTGGATTGCGCAGGTTGTGCTGGAAAGCCACCACATCCTTAAAGCTCCAGCAGAGGGCATCACGCAACAGGACCAGTGACTCATCCATGTATTCTGTTAGCAGCACAAGGTGGAAAATACGATCCAGTCCCAGCAGGGCAGCGTGGATTGTGGCTAAGCCGGGGTTTGCTGGTGGATCAAGGCCAAAGTCAAACCAGAGCAGGTTGCGAGCATAGTGGCTGCCACGCTCACCAGGCCGGTAGAAGTTCTGTGGAGAAGCCAGGAACTCCGGCAGTGAGCGAGCCCGGCGGAAGGCAGGGACCACACCCCGGTAATAGGAGAAAGCCGATTCAGCCAAGGAAGCTGGATCCCGCACTATGGAGAAATAGAAACTGTCTATGGGCATCACCTTCTGGACCTGGAGGGGAACATGCAGAGGTTAGTGCTAATGCCAACCACAGGTGATGCCTACGGAAAAGATGGGCTCCTGCCTGACTCCTTGGTGGAAGTTGGAGCCCAGGCCATCAGCTAACAAAGAAACAAGATTGTTGGGGGCAAAATGCTGACTCTGTAAAACTGCTTAGAGAGGGCTGTAAAGCACTGTGAAGCGGTATATAAGTTTAAGACTAAGTGCTATTGCTATTGCTAAACAGTGTGCACAGCCCTCTTCCTCCAGGTCGCACCCTCTCCTGGCACCCATCACCTTCCTAGGCAGCCCTTCTCGCCTGCCAAATCCCACTCTGGAGGAGCCTCAGCTAGCAGCATCTTGAGAGATGTGACGCCTTACAACCCCAGCCAGAAGTGGGGCTCCCTCTTGGCTGCTGCAACAGCTCAGAAAGGCCCCTTGGAGGAAGAGCCTTCTGTGTGTGCCCCTCCTCCCACCCCCAGCCCTCCTTCCCACATCCCTCCTGAATCCAGCCTGGCTGCTTTGAACTCCTCCCACACACCTCAAGCAAGTTGAAGCGCATGTGATGGCAAAGGATGTCGAATGGCGGCCCCTCGGGGTGCCACCCTTTTACACGCCGTGCCTGGAAAAGCTTGGGATAGTTGAACTGGTAGCCGGTCGGCAGGGCGAATCGTAATGATCTCGTGTCCCCAAAGCGGTGCAGGATGTTGACAAGGGTGCTGCTGGCGGTCTTGTGGGTCTTCAGGAAGACCAGGTGTTGCCGTGGCTGGCAGGAGAGGAGGGGGCTGACGGGCTCTTCATCCCCCACCCCCGCAGGTTCTGCTGAGGGGACCGGAGCAGGCAGGGGAGGGAGCAGCAGAGCCGAGGACACCCTGCTGGGAGAGTTTGGAAAAGGATGAGCCAGCTGACAAAGGCACCGGCTCCTTTCTGAAACAGAACCTGGTGCCTTCCTGGACAAGCCTTTCTAGCTGTCTCGGCCACAGGGTGAAGGGGGTTGGCCGGCACCTTCCCTGGGGAGGTTCTCCCTTACCCTTCTGGCTTTGGGATTCCCTGCTGCCTGGCTAGCTTCTGCCAGGTCATTTTCCATCTACTCTACCTAGCAAGCTCTGTGCACCCAGCCTCTGCCCTACTGAACTGAAGGGAGGGGGCAGGCATTACCTCTTCGGAAGGGAGATGCCCAGGAGCTGAACCGTGAAGCCAATCATCGTGCAGACGGCCAGCGCAACCCAGAGCAAGGGCAGCCGACAGCAGCCGCAGCAGCACCGCTGCCACCTGGGAAGGCTCCTCATCATTCACCTGGGGGGGGGGGGCAGAGAGTTAACAGTGGTGGGAGAGACCCTGTGCTTGGCAGACCCGGTCCCTGGGAGCCCTACCAAGGCCTTGCATGTGCCGTCCCTCCTTCACTTCCAAGTGTTTGCACCTGGAGCCAGTCCATTGGCTCACCTGCAGGGGAGGAAGTTCCATGGCTGCCTTTTGGACCTGTCCCCATCTTGCAGGGGTCACCTGAGCAGAAGTCAGGTGCTGGGAGAAAGCAATCAACCAGTTCAGATCCTCCTGGCCTGGCCTGGCCTGACCTGCTGATCCCCTGGCTGGAACTCCCCACCCCCGCCGCACAGCTCAAGCCAAGCCAGCCAAGGTCTGAATCACGAGGTGACCTGAGGAAAGATGCCCCTGCGGTCACTCCCAGATTCTGGGGGAGGGGGAGGAGGCATAACCCCTAAGAGGTCCTTGGGGGAGTACTCCCCCCTCCCTGCAGCAAAACCAAACTGCCGACTGGATAGTAGGTTCCCTTGCAGTCTCAAGGCCCTCTGTGTCCATTCCCCCCCCTCCTCCCTTATTCATGCCCAGCACAAAAGCAGGTGGAACAGAATGGCAAGACTCATGCCTTGGGTGGGGGTCTCACTGGACAGGTTGCCTAACAGGGCCCTCTGTGAGCACACCATCCATGCAGCCCTGGTGTTGGGAAAGCTGGGTTCCTTGCTTTCTTTCTCAAGGAGCAGGATGGGACATGAGGCAGGAGGGCATTGCCTTCCCAGGACAATTGGAATGCATCGCCTTCAGGAGTGCGGCTGCCCTGCACTCTCAGCAATTAGGGAGCTACATTTTCTGGCACAAGCGCTGAAGAATAAGCGAGCCAGCACTACCGTGAAGAAAGAATCAAGGCTGCAGCCACCAGCTTTCTAACCCAGCCCCGAGTGGGACTCGTTGGGAAGCCAGAGCTTTCCCGTAACCAAACCCAGAGCCTCCAGAGCACGTGCAGAGCGTCTCTCTGGAGTAGCCTCAGCCAGCCCATCTCCGCACACCTTGTACAAGGTCTTCGCGGCAGGTTGTCCTGCCGACTCCGGAGGCCCCCAATGCACGTCCGACCTCAAGCCGCTCGGAATGGGGGGGGGGTGTCTCCGTCTCAGCCCCTCCGCCGGCAGATCCTTCGGCGTCTCCAAACTTTTCCCAGTCTGCCTCACCGAGAAAGAGTCGGAGGTCTAAGTCGGATCCCTGCCCTTCCCACAGCTGCCCAGTTCACCCATTCGGGGAAGAGCGAGGGGACGGCTGAGATCAGCGCCACGGCGCCAACCGACGATGGTAATCCGGAGCGGGGGGGGGGCGTTTCCGCCGCTGGCTCTCCTCGACCCCCTTCTCTCCTCCTTTCTTCTGGCGTTCTCCCTCCGCCCCTTTTCTGTCTCAAACTTTTCTGGTCACTCGCGCTTTCTGCCCGCCCCCGCGGCTTTCCGTGGGCCTCCCGCTCCCCAATCACATTGGCCCCGCCCAGCGTGCTTCTCTTTGTCCCCCGCTCCGTAACACCCCCCTCGCCCCCCACCCCCGGCCTAAAGTACAGGCGGAAGGACGGGCGAAGCCGAAGCTTGCCGCTAACAGCTTCCATCCATCCATCCGTCTGTTCGTCCGCCTGGCTCGGCTCGGCTCTTGGACTCGAAACGCGCCAGTCCCTTCAGGCGCGTTCGCAATTCCCCCCTGCTCAGCCGCCTTTCCCCGAAGCTGCGGCCTGCTCAGTCTCCTGCCCCCTATAAGCCTCCCGTGAGCCCTCCGTGGGGTGGAATAAAGCCGGCATTTTGCTCCACGCGTGGAACCCGTTCTTATCACCGCCTTGCCTGTTTCAAGGCCGACTGTGGAGTCTGGAAACGGCCGCTATGGGTCGAGAGCGAGTCTGGAAGGCTGAACTCACGTTCTGCCAGCCCCACTGATTGTTTACCTCCGGAAAATGGTCCCATCTCCTTTTCCGCCCCCATGAAGCAGCAGAGATTCTTAGGCATTCCCTGCTTAAGCTTGGGTCCCGAGGAAAGCCTTGTTTTCTGGCTCTTCACATTCCTTAACTAAAGGGGATACATAGGCATTTGGGCACCTGAGAATGTAGCAGCCAGGCAGTCGGAGGGTTATGCTGCCTGGGCTGGGGGTGCAATCCCTGGAGCTTAGTGTCCTAGGGCCAAAACCCTGCAGGGGTGAAACTGAGCTGGCCATACCATATTCATTTATTTACTATGAGCAGACTCATAAATCACCACCATCTGCACAACTCTGAAATGTAGATTTTATTTATTTATTTATTTAATCTAATTTTTATACCGCCCTTCTCCCAAAGGACTCAGGGCGGTGCACAGCCAAAAATAAAACAAGCACATATATAAAATGTAAAGGCAATTTAAAAACATATTAAATAATTTGGCCCCGACATCATTAAAAAACAAAAGCAACCCATTAAAATTAATGTTTAGGCCAGCCCAGCTTGTTGGAACAGTAAAGTCTTGAGGGCACGGCGAAAGGTGCATAGGTCAGGGATCATCCGTATTTGGGCAAATGGATTTTTCAGAATAAATATCTATGCCTATAAAACCAACCCCTGAACATCAGAATAGGAAACGAGAATAGAGACACGAAGCCTAAAGATAGGCTTTGCCAGATATTCATTCACCAGACCACTCCAAAGCCCCAAAGCCCCATTGGCATGAATGTGCCCCCAGGGCTGAGGGGCTCTTTCTTTGGTTGAAGGGAAGGGTGGTTGGGCATTCTCTCCCATTCTTCTGTGCCAAGGCCCCCCCTCAGAGCCATCCCATCCTCTTGAAGGATTTTACTGCCTGACAGCTGGAAGGTCTGGTGCAGGGAGCAGCCGTCTCTTGGCTGTCCTTTGCTGGGGGCACAGCCAGGCCTCGTTGAAGGCCCCAGCCTTCAGCCTTATTTGACTTAGACACTGCCTTACTCAGTCAACTCTGGGTGGCTTGCAACATAAAAACAAAATGACAAATATACATTCAAAAATTAACATAAAACCATAAGCAAAATGACAAATCTGGGCAACAGAACAAACTATCATACACTCAACAATGGGCTTCGTGCAATCCAACTCAGGGCCTCAGAGAAGAGCTGTTAGGGTGGGATCTCCAGGAATACTTGGGGGAACCACATACCAGAAGGTGGGTGCCAAGACCTTCAGCACTGAAGGATTTTAAGAAGAGACTGGACAGCCCACTTATCTTAAATTTTATAGGGTCTCCTGCTTGAGCAGGGGGTTAGAGTAGAAGACCTCCGAGGTCCCTTCCAAGCTCTATTCTGATTGAAGACACAAAAGGCACACTTCAAGATCCTAAGAGATAGGATTGCTTAACTGAAAGAGTGTGCCTACCTGGTTAGATTGAAGCAGATGGGCCAACAGTACTGGAGACAGGCAGTCCCTCAAGTAACCAAGCCCTACTACACCATGTAGGGCTCTATAGGTCATAAACAGCATCTTGAATTGCATCTGGAAGCAAATTGGCAATCAATGCAGCTCATGAAATGGGTGGTACATGGGCATGCCAACGGATGCCCATCAGTACCAGGGCCACTGTGTTCTGGATGACTGGATGCTTCTGAGTGGTGTTAAAGGGCTGCCCCATGGAGACTGTGCTGCAGTAGTAGAGTTGTAAAGTGATTAGAGTGTGAGGGACTGTCTGAAGGGCCACCCAATCTATGGAGAAGCTGTGCGTGCCACCTGCCCTTTCAGCAGACTCTCATACCACACATCACTCTTGAATGGGAAATGTTAATCCACCCAACGTCAAAACTGGAATATCCCCAGAATCAGGGGGGTCCCCAAAACCATAGCCACTCAGTTTTGAGTTGGAGACATATGAGGAGGATCTTATTTCTTGGTGATTAAGTTGATTTATTTGACCACCCATTTCATAACAGTGACTCTGCGTATGACAACAAATAACTCATGGCGTTCAAGTTTAGCGCAGTAAACCCAAAGGTCAACAACACCAGAGTTCACTCAGCACAGGGAAGACTTTGCCTTGAAGGAGACAGAGAAGAGCTGCTGCCGTCAATGGCCAGATAAGCAGGGCTTGAGCCTGGGCAAAGAAAATAACTTGCAAGTCCCCTCTCTGAGTTCACATGAAGTGTGTGTGTGTGTGGGGGGGCACATTCAGACTTGCAAGATTCTACAATAAAAGTAGCCCTGACCTCAGTCGGGTCTCTATTGTTGGCCTGGGCAAAAGATGTTAGGATTGATGGTTCTACCCCAATAACAAAATATTTGAAACGTTTCTTTTATCAAATATTTTATTTGATAATGGTTATATTATTTATATATATATATATATTTAGGTGAATATATATATTTAGGTGTATTTGTTTTCTGAGGTTTTCGCGGGTGTTTGTATGTAGGTCTTTGGTTATTCGGGTTTTCTCCCGCGTAAAATTAGAGGTTTCTTGGCGACGTTTCGACGAAGTCTCATTCGTCATCTTCAGGCTGGTGTTCTCGGCTTTAGGTGTATATATATATATATATATATATATATATACATACATACATACATACACACATACACACATACACCTTTTATGACCTATGTCTTTCTCTTACAGATGTATGTCAAGAATTACCTGAGGATCACTTGGGAGAGTCCCTTTTATACTCAGAGGGAGGAGCTTAGAGGTAAAGTGGGACTATGGATGGTGAGATTAAATTAACCCTTGCTGGGGAGGATGAAACAGAGATGAACTTAAATTAGACATTTCACCTGACAAAAGAGTTCCTCGTGAAAGGCAAACGGCATCAGCCCCGTCTGCAGCTCCACCGATGTGCTATTCCTGAGGGAGATGCTGCCACAAGGAAGCCAGGAGTCCAGAGCCAACATGAGGACATTGCTTGATGGAAAGGACCTGGAGCCTGTCCTTCCTGCTAGATCTCAGAGCCAAGCAGAGATGATGGGAAAGTAGCTCCTCCCTCATGCCGCCTAGGGCTTGATAAAACACCCAAAGGTGCTTTTTCAGGAGGCAACTGGATTTTCTTGTTTTTTCTTTTGAAGACGTTTCTCTTCTCATCCAAGAAGCTTCTTCAGCTCTGACTGGATGGTGGGAAAGGGAAGGATTTATATTCCTTACAGACAGCTGGTCATTTGCATCCTTTTAAGAGGGTCATTGAAGCACTTGGAGGTTTATCTGTGTCCTCAGGGTCACCTGAGTAGTACAAATGGTTCCTGTAGTCTGCAATTTTTTCCTCTGGAAATCCATTCCTACTCCCACACCATTCAAAGGGTGTTCATCCCAAATTGTATAGCTAAAAGTCTGTAGACTGAGAATCTCTACAGACTTTTGTCACAGGGTTTCATAGGGGAGAACCAGCACTTTGATTTCCCCCCAGAGGATTACTGGGAGCCAACATCACTTCCAGGGCAGTGGTGTCATATGGGCAAAATGAAAAACACTGCCCAAGTGGCTGGGTCCTGACTGTGCCTCAAAGCAGCTCCGTGGGGCACATGAGAGCAATCCAAGTGGGAGGTGACCAAGGCCTGAGTCACTGGGAGTCAGGCTTCCTGCTCCTGGGATAAGCAGAACTGGCGCAGAAGGTGAACTGGTGCATAAAGTCCTTCCCCCCCCCACCCCACCCCACCCGCCGTTCAAGCAGGCCTAGGAATGCATTCCATCCCTGACTGGAGAAGTGTCACACCCAGGCAGAGTTAAATTTGGAAAATGTAAAGAAATGGGGGTTGGGGGCAGCTTTCAAAGGCACAGTCTTGCCAGGACCGAGCTGAAGCTTGTTGTCCAGGCTCTGGAAAAGGATCTTGCTACATTGCTTGGTTGCCCAGGTGGAGCTGTATATAACCAGGTATTATCAGCATATGGAGGGTACCACCTCCCCTACCCCCAGGAGACCTGACCAAGCAGCTTCATATTTGAGGCTGTTTAGTAGGAGTGGAAAGAAAGTCGAGCCCTGAGGGAAAGCTGGGGGGGAGGGGCTTCTGATCGAGCTCTTCTCCCCCACCAGCACTGATTGGAAGCAGCCAGAGAGAAGCCCTCTAATGGATCTCCTCCCATCCCCAGGTGGTCCAGATGGATACCATGGCTGATGGGGCCACTGAGAGATCAGAGTGTCACGATGGATGAATCGCCCCCATCTCAAACCTGCCAGAGGTCATCCACAAGAGAGATCAAAGACACCTGGCCACAATATCCCAGCCTAAAACCCAGAACAG